TGGCTGACAAAATGCTCTTCTTTTTCTCTCTGCGTCGGCGCTGCTGCAGTTGGTAGCGCTTGAGAACCTAGCTTACTACTGCCCGGTTCATCATCTCCACTACCTGCGCTCTCTGTGGTCTCCACAGGACTTACGCCTTCAACCCTTCTGTGGGCTGCCCATGAAAATCCATGGCTATCTTGAAAACACCTCCAGTCATGGTGACTGGAACCTTCTTGGCTCCCCTTTGCAGAAACGATCCATTGGGGCCGAAGGTTACTGTCCAGCCTTTCTCAACCAGCTTGGACACAGACAACAATGGCTTTGCAACATCCATTGCCCGGAACTGTCCCACACCTTTGACTTGTGGGCCTCCTTTCTCACCCATGGTCACCATAGGGTTGCACACCCCATGCACCTGGACTGGCTGCCCTGATGCGTTGGTGAACGGCTTCTCATCCACAGGTGTCATAGCCAACTCCAATGACTGTGCCAATTCCTTGGGTAGGCAACTGGTTGCTGCCCCTGAGTCAACGGTGGCCCAGACAATGGTATCCACCTGAGATGCCAAACTTCCCAGGAAGTCGAGGTTGGAATCAGATCGAACTCCTTCTCTTGGTGAATGCTTCCTGGGCTTGGGAGATGGCGTTTTCTCCCTCTTCTTCCTGGCTTTTCTTTCCATGTAGTTAGCTGCATCACGCACCGTCTTCTCCAGGAATCTCTTGGTGCCCATGCTGAACTTTCCCCTGCCCTTGGACGCCTGGGCTGAATCAGCCCGGCTGTCCTCAGGCGCTCTCGATGGGGATTTGGACTTCAGCTCGATGGGTGCTCTGGGTGCCTCTTCTTCTTCTTTCTTTTCTTCTTTCTCCTTCTCCTCAACCTTCTCTTTCTCCCCTGGCCTCTTGGGGATCTTCTTCACCTCGGGCTTCACTTCATCTTGGCCCTTGTACCTGAAGCGCTCATAGTGCTCCTCAAAGTGCTGCTTGCGCTTCTTCTTCTCTTCATCCTTGGCAATCTCTTGGCGCTTCTTTTCATCTTTGGCTTCTGCATCATCCATGGGGCGCTTCTTGGATGATTCTCTTTCTTCTCGTGCCTCTCTCTCTGCCTTTGCCTGACGATGTTCTTTCTTCCAAAACTCCAGGGCATACTGAGGATAGCATTGCTTGTTCTCCACATGTTGCCAAAAGCTTGCAACGCTCATGGAGTTGAGTGCCTTTCCACATGACTGGCACTTCACATAGGGATACCCTTTGTTGGAGACAGTTTTGCACTTCTCATGCAACTCCTTGAATGGAATGGGTCTTCGAAAGGAATTCTGCCAATGCTCGACCACATCCTCCATGCCTGGTGCTGGCTCCTGGTTGTAGGGCAAATCGTCTGGATCTGTCTCATCAGAAGATCCTAGGTCAAGAACTTCACCATAGGCTTTCTCGTAGGCTTCCTTCAAGACGTTGTCCAACTTGCTGAGGACTTCAGGATCGGTTTTCAGCTTTTCAAGTCTGCTGACAAACTCATCTCCTTCAGAGGAAATGCTCTCCTCAGAGGAAATCTCACACTTATCATGGATCCATTGTGGGATCTCATCCTGGCTCATCTCTTTCATCTTCTCCTTGTTGGCTTTCTTTCTAGCTTCATCTGCCCTTCGTCTTTCAGACCTGTGATGTCCTCCTCTATGGCGCTTAGGTTCCAGCTTTCTTGCTTTGGGAGGTTCAGGACGATCTCCCATGTCATCCTGGTCCCACTTGTCGGGGTTGGCCTGTCCAAAGGTGGCCAACTCATAGCGCTTGAAGCTGGATGCTCTTTGTCCAGCAGTGGCTGCTCGATGACTGGCAGCTCTCTGCCTGTCCTTCTCCTTCTTCTTGGCAGCTCTTGGATGTACTCCAGCATCAAGGTCGGCTTGCATCCGACGAGAGGGTGCAGCCGGTGCTGAAGCAGCACGGCCTTCTGCCCTCACTTTGGCCATTGCCTCTTTGGCCTCTTTGTGATGCTGGGCTGCCTCTTTCTTCAACTTGTCCAGGGCTTCTTGGCGTTCCTTAAGAGCTTGATTTGCTTGACGCCCTTTGTCCTGAGCTTCTTTGACGGCGCTCTCAGCCTGAGCAATCATCTTGCCAAACAGCTCCTTGTTAGACCCAGAAGCTGATGCCAAAGCGCTCTGAGCCATCACCATAGCGCTCCTGGTCACAGTGCTCCTTGAAGGTGCCTGAAGGTTTGCTCGTCTTGGGCTTCGACCACGACGAGAAGATTCATCTCGATCTTCAGACTTGGGTGGCATAGTGTCTTCCAAGGCAAACAGCGAAGTGATTTCTGGTTCAGGTTGATCACCAGATGAGGCTGCTGGTTGTTGCTCTTGAGCCCAAGTGTCAGACTCAACATTAGCAACTTTACGACCTTTGCCTTGATCACCTTTGCCTTTACCTTTGTCTTGACCTTTCTTGCCTTTTCCTTTGCTCTTGGAGTCATTGGTGTTTTGTTTATACCAAGACTGCTGATTCCAAGATTGATTGTTCCAAGAACCCTTGTGGTATGAATTGTTTGACCAAGACGAAGACTGACTCTTACCTTTGTCTTTACCTTTTGACTTACCTTTGCCTTTCCCTTTATCTTGTTTTCCTTTTCCCTTACCCTTAGCAAGGGAATCCACATCCATGGGAACGGCTCCTGATTTTGCTTCTTTCCTGGTCTCGACATTCTCAAGGTAGGCCAGGACTTCAGCTTTTACCTGGTCGTACGACGTCAATCTCGATGCCTGCAAGTCCAAATGATCTTGCAACTTGTTGGGACACATCTGCTGCAAGCAACTCCTGCAGATGTCATCTTCAAGTGGTTTCTTTCTCCTGTCTTCATACTTTCTTTTCAAGTTCTCCCAACTCTCAAGACCTTCTCGAAGCTTATCAAGACTGCATTGACTTGGATGCAGAACCTTTTTCAACAAGGCTGAATTGGCTTGAGGATTTTGAGGATCATATTTGCACAACAGTCGTCTCATGGCTTCTAGGCCAAAGTGGCTACCACGAGATGTGTTCTTGACGATTTCCAACGCTTCTCCCTCAGTCAATGATATGAGGGCTTGTCTGGCCTGAGCTGAAACTAGCTCGGCGCCTTCATCAAAGTCTACTTCTAGACTTGACTCAGTGATCTCTTTGTCACACTGAGACTCGACTTGTGCCACAATCTTCACAGCGTTCTTGTGGCAACTTTCAACCCATGTCTTAAACTTGTACCACCAACTATCCCAAGTGCCTGATGCTCCAGTGAACTTATCAGGTTTTGGTATGCCTTTCAACTCTGATCTGTCTTTGTATTCAACAGATCTCTCAACATTTCTGTTGATCTGAAGCTGCTGGTTCATAGCCTCGGTCATTGCCTGAGTCAACTGCGCCTGACCCTGAGTCAATTGGGCCATCATCTGCATAACCATCTGGGACATGTTGGGACCTTTGCCTTGTGCTTGTTGAGGTGCTGATGGAGTGCCTGGCTGCTGAGGTGGCTGCTGCTGCTGCTGAGCCATCCTTAGTCGTTCTTCAGGTGCTTAGAGACCTGATTCAAGAGAACCCTTGGATACTGTTGGAGATGCACTCCCAGGTTATGGAAGTACCTTTGGAGTTTCCTGATTTTCAGGAGCTTGAGTGTCAACCTTTTCCAGTTGGCACTGGGTAGGCGCGCCAGAGCTGATGCAGCTCGGCGTGGACACCTACACATTCACAGCTGGGTATCAGAACCTCAGCTCCGCTACCATGAACAGAGAATTTGGGCTCTTAAATCTGATGAACACTCCTGAGCACTGATCAGCACCTTTTCACTCAGTCAGCTCGAAGGTAGCTGAAAGCACTAAAATGGCTTAAATGGCTTAAATGGCTGCAGCACATATACAAACATATGTACTACATGTAACATGGCCTATACTGTACACATATCTGATCATATATAATCCTATATAATCCTATATAATCCTATATAATCCTATATAATCCTATATAATCCTATATAATCCTATATAATCCTATATAATCCTATATAATCCTATATAATCCTATATAATCCTATATAACCCTATATAATCCTATATAATCCTATATAACCCTATATAATCCTATATAATCCTATATAATCCTATATAATCCTATATAACCCTATATAATCCTATATAATCCTATATAATCCTATATAATCCTATATAATCCTATATAACCCTATATAATCCTATATAATCCTATATAATCCTATATAACCCCTATATAATCCTATATAATCCTATATAACCCTCCTATATAATCCTATATAATCCTATATAATCCTATATAATCCTATATAATCCTATATAATCCTATATGGGTATGGATCAATACCTATAGATACATTTTAGGGGGATGAACATCCATAAATCCCAGCTATTTTGATGTGAACTACAGGGGTACAAGGTTTTGACACATTGCCATATAAATATATTTATGTGTATATATATAATAATAACAATAAGAAGAAGAAGAATAGTAATAATAAAAATAAATGTATATGTAAATCACTACATATAATTTGAAATACACCCACGATCACGCACGTGCACACGCATATATGCATTTATTTATAATGTTTGGCATATTACATAGATAATCATAGAATCATAGATATATGCGGTCACATGGGGCGTACAAAAATATCCACTTTATGCCAACGGTCTGGTACTGGGCCACACATGGGCCACACTGGGCCACAATTTGCCACACATGGAAACCTCCCTCCAAGCTGCATTCTGATCCAACGTCGTCACGAATCTAATTAGAACTCACTTGCTCAAGGGTTGTCTGAAAATCTGAATTGCTGAGTTTCAGATTGAACTTTCTTTGGGCAAGCAAATTCACGGAAGTTATGGGTCGGATCAATTGACTTACAGCAGCGGCGAGCAACCAATCAAGGTGATGCTTGGAAACTATCAACACCTGGGTTTGTCTGGAAGCAGGATACCCCAAAATCTTAGTCTTGACTGCACGTTTGCCATGTTTTACTTCCCATTTCGGGGGTCATACAACTCTGCCGCACAAACAAGTCGGTCAATTCCTCCTCCCCATGCTGTAGCTTACAATTTACAACTCCTGTCCTCAGCACACTGACCTATGGCCTCGCAGAGTCTCAAAATCACAATCATAACCGCCCGCCAATGCATGGCATGGATCATTGCAAATCATGGACTTGTGAACCAGAATCCTTCACGCTCCTGAAACATATGAGCTCTGAAAGGCAACCACAGTAAGCAATAGGAAAAAGTGTTTGTTGTTTACCATGGGATTTAGTTTTGTGACCAATCTTTTGGACAAACCAATATCATCATATTGTTGATTATGTCCAATTATACACCCACTCAATTCCCACTATGGTTGGCTTGCATTCCCCTATTTGTGTTGGTTCAATCCATTATTCTTAATGAAATCCCCTGATATGTTCCATCATATGTCAAATCATTATACATATAAACAGCTTAAGAACGATTGTTCATTGGTGAAATCCTTAGATTTGATGCTTGATTCCCATGTTCCTACACAGCTGTCTTGGCGAAACCATGGGCCAAGTCCAAGGTTGCTGTACTATGTACACCATGGGGCCCGCTCAGGGGCTGGCCTACCACGTTGGTCAGCTGAATCTCTGTCTTTTTCGGTGCGTTTTGACCATCAAACACCTCCACTTCAATTGAAAATAGTATTTACCTGCTATTGAACACATGGAGTTAGAGTTGCCACGTTGGTTTACCGATATGTAACCTGCAAATTGTGTAGAATTTCTGGGCACATCAAAAGGAGAGAGTATTTAGGTAGAACTGACCTTGTAATAATGTGGATGATTACAATCCAGAGATCATGTTGGCAACCATTTGCAACAACGTCAACCTTGGATTAAAATGGTACCTCCCAAATCAAGCAGCCCAGGGAAATGATGATTGCAAGTTTTTGTATATATCAACAATCCTTTTCTTGGTGCTCCAAAACACAATTTGTCGCCCGTGTTGTATAATCTATGTGTGTGTGCGCGCAACATGTAACGTATTTGTCTATGAATCCTTATGAATCTGTCTATATACCAATCAATTCATCTAAATCAACATTTTGAAAGAGTTTGTGAAACTTCTGAGATCCTTTTGGTAACACACTCCTTCTTGATGGGTACAGCCGAAGGCCTTGCCTGCAGTGCACATGTCTTCGGACATCGCATCCGCGTTCGGACCTGCAATGGCCTTCCTTGCATGGGAAGGCGCGTCCAAGTGCCATAGCCCTACCCATTTGTTGGTGGATTTTAATAGTTGAGTTCCAAACAGAAACTATAGAAACTATAGATGAAACTGGGTTCTAAAAAAACCAATCGTCTATCTTTGAGTTTTGAACGGTATCTTAGACTTTTCGAGTCTTAAAAAACACCAACACCTCCAAACTTGTCCATCTTGTCCGCCATCTTGCAGCTCAGAAACGCCAGTGCAATCACAGCCAGATCGCCGAGGGAATCGCAGGTAACCTGCCCTCAGGGCCTGAAATCTGGCTCTTGGGATTCAAAACCTCGCGGACCAGGGGACCGTGGAATGATTTGGAATGTGGTAACCCTGCTCCCGGGACCCATAGAAAGAAAAGAAACACATAGAAACACCAGAAATAGTTGAAGTAAACCATCCAGGTTGGTGTTGATTCATTGTTTTTAAAGTGTTCCCTGCACATCAGAGAGAGAGAGGGAGAGAGAGAGAGAAAGAGAGGGAGAGAGTGCATGTCTATGTATGCTTGCTTACACCACCCAAATATGGTATTTGCAAGAAATGACCATATGCTTGTATAACAAACACAAGTGCACGTCTTTACTGAGACACCTCTGTATATTCCTTCATCAAAGCCACCATTCAACAAGATCTATCCGGCAACATGGCCAATCTTAGATACCTTGCTACCCTTCACCGAGGTTGACCCATGTTATTTTTCGTAGTTAAGTATACAATCTTAAATTCCCATGTTTTATGAAGAACCCCGCATGTTATGATAGTGACTGTGATAGTTCTCCATAGTGCATGATACGGAACTCACTTCGTTCAGTTGTTCATTAACCATCATTAACCTGCCATAAAACCATAACATCCCATAACATCCCATAACCTAGACCATCATTAGCCATCATTTACCATCATTTAAAATTATTTACCTGCCATAACCCATAAGCTAGACATAGCCAACTTAATTACCCAGAAGATTTACCGCAGGAATCTTCAGCCAACTCACATGATTGGCTGCTTGGGAGTGAATTGGTTCCACACTTTCTCCTCCTCAGCAGTGACGGCACCTCACGGCCGACAAACGGCCGGGCCGCAAAACGGGTGGAAGCGGCAAAAAAATGTCTGATTTGTTTTTTTGGTGTGTGCGGGCGGGTGTTGCATATGTAAGTTGTTATTTATATAATATATATATATAATATATATATATACATATATGATGGCACATAAATGTAGGAACATCAGAGAATATAGTAAATCGCTGCCATTGTGCGCAGCCATTTTAGATGTTCCATGTGAAACGTTGAGGGCTTTTTTGTAATCCCTGGAGCTCCAAGGGGAGCTCCTGCACCTAGCAAAACAACCCTATTTTGATTGCATTGCCCGTATGCTCCATGTATATTTACCTACATGACTGGGCCATTTATGGGGTAAATGTTGGTAAATGTTCCATACATGGAGCAATTGGGTTGTAGTATCTCATCTCTAGTAGCGATTGTGAAATCCACAATGCATCTAATTTGTGATGCTTAAACCACTATTGAAATATCAGGGTTGCTCCCAACACCCCATAACACCCCAGATAAAAAGGGGGAAACGTACTAAATATATCAAGATAAAATGATGTAAAATGACCAATTTTCCCCAAGAGCTGTTATCATTTACCATATCTACCAATAATGGAGGAGCAACCCTGATCATGGCTGGCTAAATCACAATTGTTGTTTGTTGAATCCAAATTTTGCTGCGGTGAGTTCCTATTTTGTTGTTTGAATCTGACTGCTCAAAAATGATTTTTGAAAATTCCCGTTTTTTGTTGGTATTAAAAATGTGACATCTCCATTACTACTGGTTACCCTCTGGTTATGTCAAAATAGCTATTGAAAATGGCCATAGAAATAGTGAGTTTTCCCATGAAAAATGGTGATTTCCCATAGTTATGTAAACGTTTACCAGAGGATAAAACCCATTCCCATTAAACCACCATATTCCCATAAATTCCCATTAGATCCCATTAAAATGTCAGTTTACCAGAGGGTATACAAATCCGCAACTGAGGTTGGTAAACCTGCATGAAGATCGTTTTTCAGAAATCGCCCAGTGACGGACGCCGCCATGGTATCCACCAATTGCGCATCTTCTCACCACGCCATCGCCCACAATCACCCTGGCTTTTTGGATGACGACCCGGCCTGGTCAACGTTTACATAACTATGGAAAATCACCATTTTTCATGGGAAAACTCACTATTTCAATGGCCATGTTCAATCGCAAACTGTTGACATAACCAGAGGGTAGCTCTCATGGCTCCACTTACCATGGTGAAAAAGCGTCCAGCCTGAGGCGGTACCACCGGGAGTTCGTGGGAAAGTGTGGGAAGATCAAAGTCACGGCCGCCGTGGCCCCGTTGCGCTCAAGGCGCTCCACCTTGCCGTACCACCAGCCGAAGGGACTGCCTGCAGGGTGAGGGTTGAAGTCACTGTGCGCACACACACGCACATTTATGTATACATATATATATATATATTATACACATGAAATAGATTAACTGTCGATCTATCTGCCTATCCTATCCTATCTTATCTTATTTCATCTTATCTTATGTATCTATCTATATAATGTAAAAATAATGAATCATGATTAATCATGTGGAATCTGTTCTGTGCAAGGTTTCACTTGCAGCAGCCAATCATAGATGGCCTCTGGTCTTGTGCATGGAAGGTGTTTTTATCATTTCATCGGATGAAACATATTTAAGTGCTCAGCAAAGGTGGCAAGATTGTGTGGCCTACAATTCATACTGTATTAGATGAAGTTCTTCACCAGATTCTATGTCAAGGAGAACATTCAAGAAATAGAGTGGCTGGTTTGGTATACCATTCATTGTTGATGTTGTTATATTACATGTGTATATATAATCTATATATATGGTGTATATACATATATAATTATATATATATGTATATATTATTGGGAGTCCGGTAGTAGACTTTCATCTTCCAAACCCGTGTTGTATTGAATCGCTCGATAAAGAGAATAGACATGGAAATGCTGATGACGGTGATTTACAGATTGACAATGATCACAGTGCTTAAAAAACATGATCCTGGCCTTTTTGAGGGCATTATCCACAGCAACAATCTAAAGTTAAAGGTCTGCCGGCTACATCCCCAATTGAACTGATTTATAACCCCAAGTCCCAAATGTTGTTGGATGCTCCTGCGTCCCCTGCTGTAAACTAAAAGCCATGGCAATTGTGAAACCCTGTTTTCACAGAAAAAAACGAGCGGCTCAACATTCTTGGGCTGGGAATGTCCATTTGCAAAGTTGGATCACTTCCCATTTGTGGTGCGATGGGCCCCTGTCTTTTTCAGGTCTTGCAATGAAATCTCCCGTCTTACTACTTAAAATCCTAAATTCTTCTTGGACGAATCATCATTTTTGTTCGTAAATCCAAATGTCTTGATGCTTCATCCCACCACTTCTGAGGATGAATCTCCAGTTTCTGGTGCGTTTTAACCGCTTTAATTAAACATAATATGAAACTAACTTGCAATTCGCTGCACGGCTTTGTGAATTTAACAATTCCTCGAATTTTTGAAGTCTCGCAGGCTAACCTCCAGGGTTTTCAAGCCCCAACCCTATCCGGTTTTCTCAGGAAGTGGCCCATCTGCATCTTCCACTGCAGCTCAACACCTAGGCAGGTGAAGCCAACAAACAAGTTCATCAGGGAGAGTGACGTGAAGCATTGATTTTGTTGGTTCATCTTGGATCTGGTAGTCAAACATTGCAAGCTGGAAAATCTAGAAAATCCTATGGAGTTTAATGGGAAAATCATCGAAAATGGGGAGCTGTTTCATTGCCATGGCTGATTACCGGATAATATTTCTTTCTCAAGAAATTGAGGATGACAGTAGTTACCCTCTGGTAAACTAACATAACTATGGAAAATCACCATTTTTCATGGGAAAATTCACTATAAATGGTGATTTTCTATAGCTACACATGGAGATTTCACCAAAAAAAAAACATAGCGCAATTCCCTGCAAAAAGCCGCAGCGAGGGGCCTTGTCCCAGCGCCACACCATCGTATCCTTTCAACACTCCTTGGATACGAGGAAAGCCGTTGGATCCACCAAGATATGGGTATGGGTATGGAACAACTTCTACCCGGCCTGGTAAACGTTTACATAACTGTGGAAAATCACCATGCGATTTTCATGGGTGAATCAACTATTTCGACTGGGCCATTTTCAATGGCTATTTTGACATAACCAGAGGGTAAGGAAAATATTGTGGTGGTGTCGACCGCGCTAACATCCCTTGGCAGCAAAATGCAGACTCGGGAACAGTTAATCTCTCAAAAACAGTCGAAATCGCTAAATCCATTCTTGCTTTCTACTCGAACACTTTGGGGCTCCCCAATTTCATGCCCTGTCTCCCGTTTCCACATCAGTCTCGACACTGTAAGGATAGATCTCAGCGGCACCAGGGGGCGCAATCTCTGGCTGCAGTTGATCTCTAGCTGTCCCGGCAGGACAAAACCGCAAACGATGCTTCTGCTCCGCCGGGATGCGTTCGGGCTGCCTCAAGCAGCGGATAAGGGGGTGGATCCCATGTGGGGAAACCCCTAATAAAATGATCGGAAGACCAAGGCTAACATCACCCGAGCACAGTACATATGCGAAAAAAGAATCTGCAAACGCAGAACTTTACCCAATAAGCTATGTATATAAATATAAAATATCAAATGTTATTTTTAAAAAGTTATATATAGCAATAGAGAGAGCTAATTGAAGTGTACGCCTGATAGTTTGAAGTATTTAAAAATTGTCGGGCGTCAAACTGCGACATTCTCAACAAATACCATGGCTATTCAGAACCCGTAGAGCTAGAACTCCAAAGCCTTGGAGAACCCGAGGCCCCATGTGTCCATTCTACCAAGCAGCACGTGACTTGCGCTGACATAGTTGGCAACATATGATTTGCTACCTCAAACGTTGTGACCAAAACTGATGGGTGCTGGGCGTGTAAAAGACCAAGACTAGTAATCTTGATGATTCTGGGTTTCACGAACATTGCTATTAAACTAAGAAGTTTTAGTTGTCCCTGCCAAAGAAAGGATGGATAAAGATCCACCATGCTTTGCAAAAATCCGGAAAAAAACTAATGTTAGTAAAGCAACCATAAACCACTCATATTTTGATGGTGTATACGCCGTTTATATCCGTTTATGGTAAAATTGGGGATGGTTGAGTATTGCTTTACCATGCTTTACCAACAAAAGTTGGCCCATCACCCATGGCGACTCTCGGCGACTAAGGTCGCAGCTGTGTTCCCAGGACACCTGCGGCTGAGACTAGCCATGGGTCGGATCAACAGAGCTGAGACATAGCTTTAACCCAGTAAAACACATTGAAACATACCCATAGGATCCATGGTGCTGGTATATATGCTAACATGACTGGGGTATATTGATGGGATCCATGTTACCATATATAGCAGCACCATGGATCCTATGGGATACTAAACCCTCGTTTTTTTTTGGCCATGGTTTCCAAGCCGTGCCCTTTGCGGAACGCCATTTTTTTTCTTGGTTTCGCCTTCGCCACCATACAAGACATGGAGAAGCCAATCTTCTTCTCCCGATCCTTGGTACCCACCGGCATCAAAGAGACATGTTCTAACAAGAGGTTGGTAGCTTATGATAGGTTTATATGTCAATATACATGATCATATGGGGGGGTTCCATGGGTTTCCATAAATGGGGGTAGCTGGATTGTTTAACAATCCTATTTTAGGAAACCTCCATATCAGTAAACTCAATCTCCCTCTCTCTGTGCATTAAGCCCTGCACTGCGGCAAACCGGATGAGCAAGCTCAAATTCATAGGTGAGAAGAAAACATGTAGAACATATATCTGGGTAAATTATAATATTTCACTAACCTGAAATAAGGCCATTTTGGGATGATTCCCCTTATTAACCATGATTTCCAGTGAGGTCGCAGTGAGGTCGCAGTGAGGTCGTTATAATTTAACCAGATATATAGATTGGTGGGTCCAATACGTTTGGTTGGTGCATTTGATTGCACACTGAACATGTTTGAATCGCATCCATTCAAGAAATGGATGAAAGGAAAATCTACCTGGGCCATGTTGAGCTGCAATTCTATATATGGTTCTATTGATTTTGATATACCTTAAGTATTCCCAAAAGATATAAGATTTCCCAAACATGGGTCCAGTACTGGGTCCAGTTCTATATTTTCAGGGTTGAAATCATGGTTTTTTGTAGGTCTTCCACCTACAATCTACTGTACCAAGGCTCGAAAACCTCCAGAATTTCCTCACGTTTGCCCAAGCACATCTGCCGGTAGAGAGCCTGATGTGTTGGGAGCTACTGAGCTACCCATCCCAAAATGATGAACGAATATCCAGTTGTTGGTTGTAGAGGGGAAAAGCCAGAAAAGGATCGCCGAAGCATTCCGTCAAGAATCATGATTCGAAGGAAACATCTGGGTTTGCCTGAACATGTTAGAACATGTTAGATACTGTAAAAACGAAAACAACGGTGTATAGAAAAAACCTTCATGTTACCATGATTCAATGGCCGTTCCACTGGGCCATCATGGGCCAAAAGTCACGACCCAAATTGGCCGCCTCCCAGTCGGTCTCAAGCTTCCGGGGTTCATAGGATAGAGCTTCATAGAAGACAGGCCATTTCTCCTGGGGATCTGCAGGACCTGCAGGACCAACTTTATTGACTACCAAACATGGGGATCCGTTGGGTTCATGACGGTTCATGGTAAAAAAAAAACGCCAATGTAACGCTACTTTCCAGTGCACCATGACATGGCATTGCATTGCAATGTGTCATGTCAAAACAGACATGTCGCGGTGGTCATGTTTAAATGTCACTTTTGAACCGCTTAACCCGGCCCCTCCCGCCCAACCAGACTGCCACCTCTCTCTCAGCGAACCAGGTTCGTAAGCATTTGTGCATTTTGCCTGTATACTCGTTAGCTTGAGGTAGATACCACCACTTACATGCTAATTGGCCCTTGTTTACCAATAAACATCAATCAAACCCTATGTAATTACTATATACTGACGATATAGATCTATATAGTACAATCTATATTAATATATAGCCATGACTTTCCAAATTTGGCGGTGGTTTCAAGTTTGGTTCCTGGAAGATGCACTTCCACTGCATGGCGCAGATCTGGGAGCTGGTTTCGGCAATGCTCTTGGTGCTGAGGCGAAAGAAATTCCTGGCTCTGACCCACGGTACTTGCTGGATCATCCCACTTAGCAAGTAGCTTACAAGATCTTACAAGTTATAAACCTAGTGAATTAAGTGGATTAACCCTACTTATATCCCACTTATAACTAGGGATATAACCTACTTACTAAGTGGGGTGATCCACTGTGGTAAACCCCATCATGGGCCCCTACTGCTTGCAATCGGGTTTCTCATTCTAAATTCCAAACGGCCCAAGGAAACTTTATGGTCACTTTTGCCCCGTCTGAGAGAAAAAAAGGGTCCACATTGGACAATTCTTAAGGAAAGTATCTCAGGGACTGCAGCAACTACCATTCCAAGCCCTGCGCAAGGCCTCTGAATGTACCTATTTGCCTATTTGTACCTTCCCACAGGCAAACATGGCAAGGAAGAATCACCCATTTGCAGATGATTTGCCATACCTGCTGGAAATGGTGGTCCTTTGCCGTGCGGATGGGACCTCCCACCACAACTCTGGGGTCACTGGCATTTTCTGAGCCCCCTATCCAGTCCCTCGAACGTGTCAAGACACGATTCATTTCAAAACCTTTAATTGAATGTACATGCGTGAAAACCAAATGAAGATCCCAAAATAGTCCAAAATACCAATTTCTGTATGACTCTGTTGTCCATTCCACCAGACTTTTTGCCCACCCGCATCTGTCTCACCCCCAAGCAGTTGCCCAGAGTCGTGAGGTCTAAGGGGTCTCCCAAATACTCAGAGATGTGAGTGACCAATGGCAAACATAACCTCGGAAAACGCTTCAAATCCAATTCAAAAAACCTAGGGCCCTCCTAGTTTCGAAGCGAGCTCGGGTTTGCTGAGACATGCTGAGACCAAAAAAGGAGTTTGCCCCAATAGAGCTCAGGTGCTGAGCTGAGGGACACAGGCACACATAATGCCTTTATATTACAGAAATCATTCTTAACAATCAATCCAAGCACTGCCATTCCATGTCCAAGTTGCACATCGCAGTGTGGAAATTCTGTGGAGCTCCATGATGCTGGGGCATGGTTGCTGAAGAAAGCTTCCAAAACATGGTGTGGGCAATGTTGCACGGCCTGGCTCACAGTTTGCAACTGATGGAGATCTCTCTCTCTCTCTCATATCTATTTTCCCAGCTTCCCGTTTCCTGACGTCCAGAAAGATGTTCCTGGGAAATGAAGTTGTGGATCTGTGCCAGGCCCAACTTGAACTTCGTCCTCCCCCACGGCATCAGCACCTGCTGCAGCCAGACCTGCACGGCGGCACAAATGCTCTTAGCGTGATAGCTCCTGAGTTGGCAATTAAAAGGCCGGAGAGCCATGCCATGCCATGGCGGCTGACCAACCAAACATATGCATGGGATCTTGGACCCTTGGAAACATGGTTTAGTGGTTTACCAATATTTACAAAGCAAAAGTTGTGTTTTTTGTTGGGTGGTGCCAGGCTTTGGAATGATATGACCAATAAAAAAAATTGACGTCTTATGGGGTTCATATTGGTTTAATCTGCAAAGTGGGGGATTCGATCACTGAGAATATGAAGATTTTTAATGGTGATGTAATCAACAAAAAAATTGGGGGCCCAGAAACATCAGAAACCCTCCAGCAAGTCCACAGGGCAATAAAGAGACATCCTTTGGTTCAGGAGAGTCATCTCGCAATATGATCCATGCCTTGCCACTCGCTACCCTTTTATTTTCCCTGGCTGGCGGCTTGAACATCTTATATATTTACAAATGATCCTATATTTCCCATTATCAATGTGGATTTCCGGACTCACCGGACGTAACACCAGTTGAATCCCCAAACCTGGATGCTTGATATCTATTGACATCTCAATTTTTGGCGGTTCAACAGCTTACCAGGCGTTGCTTCGCAGCCAGTTCCAAGTCTCCAAAGAGCCTCAGGGATGTGAAGAACCTGAGCGAAGGTGACTTCTGAGGGGGGAGATACCGCCAATTTCAGGATACCCTCTGGTAATTTAACATAGCTATTCAAAATCACCATTTATAGTGGTTTTTCCCATTAAAAATGGTGATTTTCCATAGTTATGTTAGTTTACCAGAGGGTAAAACATGATGAAGCTGGTGAACCTGATGAAACTCGTAGAAAAGGTGCTTTTTTGTTGGCAAATCATCTGCCCAAGACCGTGTTGCTGCGGCGTAAAAATGCTGGTTTCCAGGATTTGGGGGAGCAAATGGGACCTTGCAACCTCAGAACAACAGAAGAATTTCATGGAATTTTCCACACTGTTTCACCCGTCTGAAATGTTCACCCTGGGCCGGATCCCACTTGCGACAAGAAACTTCTTGTGGAGTCAACAGCGGTGGTGCTTTCAGGTCAATACTTGGTCCAAACAGCTCTGACAGCTCTGCGTACAGTTCCTCGCTGGAGTGGTTGCATGCGTCGACCATCTCCAAGTCTCATGTGGTAAAGCCCATTCAGAAAGCTACTATTTGGAGCTCTGATTTATACCAACCATCCATGGTCATATTGGGGAATGTTGTTGGGTCTAGCGCATTGGGGTGTTGTTCAAGGGTCCAGGGCATCCAGCTGGGGTCCAAGAGTCGTGCAGCCGCTTCCATGTGAGAACTCCTGACCTTGGTCCCATGGAGCTTCAGTTGGCGAAGATTTCAGGCTGGGACCACATGTTTTTGGCAAATTTCACGATGCGTTCATGTAATTCTATAAATTCTTACATGATCCAATTATGGAACCCAATTTTGACCAATACCATCCAATACCCTTGTTTAGAATATGTTCCGACTGCTGGTCCAAGTCTCTTTTCCATCTACCCAAGAAGAACTTGTGAAAAACCGTGACCCCAAGGCCCCCAGCCAGTCGGGGATGTGCTGCAGATTCTGCACGGACACCATAAGATCAAAAGATAGCCTGCCATAGGGGCCCAGGGGAAGAAAAATCACCCCAATGAATTTGGCACAAACTGGCTATGTCTGAGGCCAGCGTCATGGGTGGATCTGAGAGTCTATTGGATCACCTCCCATCACGCGCCTAATGGGTTGGACCGGGCTCACCTGCACCTCAGGCTCAAACGTTTCGATCCGTTTTGGAGGGTTAATTTGGGGGAAACGCAGTTTCATAGCGAGTCATCACTTTTGATGATTCAACTTGATGATGCTTTAAAGGTAAGTTTGAAGTATTTTAAAGTACCACATCTCTAGGCGAGATCCTCCCGTACATGGAGACACAAAAAGGGAGCCCCGACCCGGCCTCTGGGTGTGACGCAGCGTTGGCGTCACCCAGTTCCCTCACCTTTGCACCGGAGTTGAAGCCATGTGTTCACACCACAAGAGCTGGTCGTTCTGGACGTTCATCCCAAGAAAATATAGTTGTTGATCCATGAGGATCCATTCTGTATATCGTCATATTCCTGCAACATCCTGCAACTATATGCGACCATTGAAGATTCACAACTCACCCAACCAAAATTCCTGCAACTCGGTGTGATTTCCCTTACTAAGCCCCCTAACGTCCAGCTCAAAGTCCACCGGGCTCTCCTCAATCCCATAGGACCTGGGCTTTGTCGGATGCGTTCCCGTGGGACTTCCTAGAAATCAAACGATGCTGTTTTGGGAGAGTTCAGTGGGTGACAATCATGCATGATTTTTGAAACATTCATGCTCATCTCTAAATCCGAGATGTGACCCCACGCGTTTGTGGAGGGATATATGATATATAAGTCTGCGTCTCTTGTGAGGCAAATTTCCAGGTGTCCAACCCCCCGCAACATTCAACCCCAAGTTGGTAGGGATGTTCAGCATCCCCACGTCCCCCACAATCCATCAACTTGATGATCTTCCGATTTTTACTGGCCCTATCTGGCCCTTCATCTCGTGAAGTTCCCTGTTTTTGTGGTGCTCCAGGCTCTCTCAACATGGGTTTGTCTGAAAAGAGGTTACCCAAAAATTTAGGGGTTCATCATTGTTTTCCTATAACAACTGCCATGTATCTGCCATGTTTGATAGGTACCGCCCATGGTATCAACACAGCCATCTCAGCCAGGGCGCACTGGGCAATCAAATGGAATCTGTGGACGCGGGGACCACTTCCCATCGGGGTGGTTGAGCCAGGGGCGCGCAATCTCATGCTGATCGGGCGCTGCTTTCGAAGCCATACCTCCTAAGGAGGCGCCAGCGGGGGGGGTGGATTTGCATAGGTTGCTGATGGATGTTTCACGCATGTTTCATAGATTCTTATACAGTAGATTTTTTTGAGTCAGAACCTGGCCGTGCCCGCAACTTCAGCCTTGAACCCCCCCGATCTGCCACCCCCATCTTGCAACCCAAGGTGCCCATACACTTGTGGTGCTTGGTCTAGGGAAGATTGTCTCGTCGGCCAGGGAGCTCGCTGTAGCTCTCTCTCGCGGACAAGGGACGGTGTAAAAGGACAACGCTGGCACCACCGGAGGCACTGAGTGGCTCAAATGGCCGACCCAAAATGGCTGCAGCCCATTTTGAGCCATAGTCGGGTGAGCAGACCACACTTAATGACGTCTTTTTTAATGTCAGGCGACTTCTTGCCACTTGGATCCACTTGGCAATACATGCTCCAAACCCGAGCGGTGAACTTGCGGAAATCCGACTTTCCACTCAATCCTACCCAGGGGCACTTGCAAACTCACACAGCATACCTTCTGCAACTTGAACGCGGCACCATCAAAACACTGGAGAGGAACAACCCATAAAACCAAAACCTTCTTCGACCTCTCTAACCTTTTCGGCGATTGCCAAGCTTCAGCCGCCCGCTGACAGTGCAGGGGGCGACGGATATGATAGTGAGACTCCAAGACTTTTTGCCAGTGCAATCCTCATCTTGGAATGGGGGGCTGCTAGATTTTTTGGGAAATTCGAGATGGGCTCCGAGATTGAAAAGGATCAATACCAAGAGATAATCATGCACCGTTGGAACCCACTTCAACCATGGACCATTTCACCAGCTTGTAACACTGCTTTACTGCGCCTCACTTGCGCTACACACGGCCAAGCGCTTGTGGGAAATTGCCAGCATCTGTGGTGGGACCTGTGCTGTTCCCAAACATGTCCAGTAAGAAAATGACGCTTCATAGAATCAGCGCAACGGACTAGCCGGTCCCACCACACTGACGCTTGCAGGGCGGGGCTTGACTGGCCAGGCCGGTCGCAGGTGAACACGGGCCTGAAATGGACATTGGCTCATGGTGAATGGCATCAATTTTGTGAGACACCCTGCAAAACCAAAACATTGAACCCCAAAATGGACTCAAACGTGACAATGTGTTGGAAGATGTTGGAACAATAATCCACACCCCATGTGAGTTTTCAGTTGGTTACTGAAGGGCCTATCATGGCCTCCACTGACCTTCAGCCCCTCTCTAGCCACGAGGCACGCCGGAAAAATCCGCGGCTCAAAAATCGTGGTGAGAACGGAACCTCAGGCAGATTGGAAGTGACACACCCAAGTTTACCTTCTGAAACTCCCCATTTCTAGGCTTTATTAAATCCATTTTCTTCATGGCTAATATATGTTAAGCTATGTTTATATAATGCGCCATTGACTGAGCTGGAAAGTCTGGAAAATGGGTTTCCTCTTGGCAATGGTCCCATTAACAAAAGCGATGTTGATATTGAGGATAGCATGGGGGTGCGGTTTCAACCTTAAAATTATGCCAATGCGCATAGGGATCACATTCTAGAATGCAAGCTAGTAGGGTAGGGATCTGCTAGCACGAACCTGGTGCTGGTGATATGTGCTCATCTCAATGGTTTGGACTTGGTTGGAAGCACCGCCTTCTCGGAGGGCTGAATAAATATGAATAAATTGTAAAAGGATGTGCATGCATCAACTAATTTATATGCTCAAGCTGCTGCCTTCTGGTATCTTCTGGTATTACGTGATATTGCCACGGCCATGATGGCCATGCCATGGAAATCATGAGCATCCCATGGCCAGAATCGCTGGTCAAAAGGGGGGAACGGCGGGGCCCTGGCTGGAGGCGGTCGCAGTGACAGGTCATTTCTTTCCCTTCTTCTTTCGCTTCTTCTTAGCTTCCTGAGGGTCCAACATGCTTCAGCTTCCGGGAAAAAAAACAGCAGAGCTCCCAGAGAATGGCTGCCCAGTGGTTTGTGGTAGCAAAAATGCCTCCGAGAATGGAGGTGATTTTTTTTCATTTCAGGGCATCTTGTTTCACCCCGAACATTTAAACCCAAGCGAGTCCACCGAACAAAACTTGGGCTAGGAACTTGCAGGGTTTTCTTTCCTTGAATTCTCAGTGGCTAGAACCATGGTAATGACCCGCCGAAATTGGGAATAGTTGCCATATGTAACCCCAAGAATTATGGCCTGTAGCCACTTATGAAATCTTACCAAGCGGAACTGCACCTCCGAGTCCAACAATTAGCTAAGTTGTGTTGGTTATACCACCATATAAAATATCCCCATGATACCTCACCCTCTGGAAATTTACAGTAACATAGCTATTAAAAATGACCCATGTATAGTTGATTTACCTATAAAAAAATGTGATTTTCCGTAGTTTTTTGTAGGTTTACCAGAGGGTAGCTCCCATCACAGTCCTCCGTCTCTTCTTTCTCATCCGCCTTTTCCTCCTTCTCCTCATCGGCCTGGGAAAGCGTCAGCCCGGACCTCTCTGGGTGTCAAAAAAAAACATTTGTGCAGAGCAGAGATAAAGTGGGCAGAAAGGAGTGGTGCTTTGTGCAATTGTGATGTTCATCACTTTGTAATAAAAATGAATGGACTATCTGAACACTGATCATTGTTGCCGGTAGGAAGTTGAAGTCACCCGACGAAGTCAAGACTTCGTTTTCGAACAGCCCAATGACAAATTGCAAATCGACAAGGCTATAACATCACACTCAAACTCATCCCATTTGTCTTTGTGTATGTGTGCGGCAAGTCAAAACAGAATAAAACAGCTCAAAAACAAGTGTATCGACCACTCTCTCTCTCTCTCTCTCTCTCGTGTTCAATGACTGGAGGTGTGACCCACAAAAAACACGGGTTTTATACGTTTTATATAGATATGGCTGAGTCAAAACCCTGGTACCTAGTGAACCCCAAAATAGCTGGTAAATGGATGTTCATCCCATTAAAAATGTATCTATAGGTATTGACCCATACCCATATGGGACCCTAACATAGAGAACTGTGGAGGTCATCCATTGGGCTTTTAAAATTTCCGTGCCTTCTCGGGCGCCTTCTCGCCCTTCTCGGCCTCTTTGGTCGCCTGGGAGCTATGGAGAGCTATGGGGCCACTTGAAAACAGGTCTGGTAAAAAGAAATGTGAATTTATTGGATGAACACCCATGGTTGTGACATGTTTTACTTGAAGCCTCCTCTCTAGCTCCTAAGATCTTCAGTGGTAGGCGGAGCTCCTCCGTGTGAGGGGCAGGGCAATTTGGGGTGAGCCATGCCTAGTGGTGACGATGATGCGCTGGGGTCGGAAAAGGCTAAGCTGGAGATGTTTGATGGATCAAATGCATCTCAATACAGGAGATGGAAACGAAGAGCACAGTTGATGTTGGCAAGTCTTCCTTGTACCATTAGTGAAAAGAAGCATGGACCGAAGTTGATGAGTTTCATTAGTGGAGAAGCAGGGGGCTTTGTTAGAACACCTGGACATAGCAAAAATCTGCAGTGAAGGCGGTGACAAGTTGATCTGGGGAGTCCTTGACGAGAAGTATGGACCTCAACAGATCGATCTTCTCCAAGAGGCACTTCGTGGTTTCTTCTATGACTTGACGGTCAAGCAGGGCGAGAGCTTCAGACAGTTTCAGGCCAGATTCACAGCTGCCAGAAGGAAGCTGGAAGAAGAGAAGGTGAGTCTTCCGGAGGTAGTTCTGGGGTACATGTTGATGAAGAAGCTGAAGTTAGAAACCCAAGAAGAATCCATGCTGCTGACGACGACTGGAGGAGATTTGTCCCTGGCCAAGATCGAGAAGGCCATTCAGTCGGTCTTCCCTGATGGCAAGGGACACCTGTCGAAGCAGAACGCGAAAGAGGTGTTCAGTACGGAAATCAGCCAGGAGCAAGAAGAGGATGATCTTCAGAATGTCATGAACCTCATGGCAGATGAGATTCAGGCCAGAGAGGAGTGGGATGAGGAAGAGATCTTGGAGGCATTCGAAAGTTACAGCGAAGTGAGAAGGAAACTTGCTGAACAAAAAAAATCCAGAGGATACTATCCCTCTCCTACGACGTCAAAAGGTCAAGCAGAATCTTGGAAGATCAGTGGATCCATCAGAGGACGCATCGAAGATGTCATCGATGCCGGAAAGTTGGCCACTGGAAGAAAGAGTGTCCCATGAATCAGTCGAGTGCAAGGAGTTCTACCTCCAAAGAAGTGATGATCATCGAGGAAGATGACCTCGTCAGTCGTCAGATGTGGGAGAGGATTAGATATGGTGGTGACCATTGATAATCGTCCTATTTTCGATCATACCATGGGGGATGGTATCGTCATCAAGGATAAGCGCATGGCGATTGACATGTTACTTGTGCATAGGGACATCAAATGTAACAACATTTGTTTGCGATGGGTAGACACTGGTAGCATGCTTGCTGATTGCCTCACGAAGCTGTCTGCTTCTGCCGGGTTGTTGTTGGATGTGTTTCGTAATGGCCTCTATAGTTTGGTTCTTGAAGCATCAGCTCCTGAAAAATTGTAGCGTCTCAACCATGTACTCGGGGGTGTGTGAATTTATTGGATGAAGACCCATGGTTGTGACATGTTTTACTTGAAGCCTCCTCTCGGCACGACATGAAAAGGGTAGGTTGACCTCTGCACCACTGGGGACTAAGATCTTCAGAAAGATTAAAGACATCTTAATGAGCCTTAATGGTTTTTAGATGTTTTTAGAACATGCCCCCACAAATTGTGTGCGGTTTGAATGTGTCAACCTCTGTCTTTTTTGGGGTCAATCGATTCTTAGATATCAGCTATGGATTATTGATAAGGTATTGCATGGTATTGCAAAAGACTGGACAAGGATGCCAATGCCAACTGTGGATTCAGGTCCTCCTTTTCTTTTTCCTTCTGCTTCTTTTTGCCTCGCAGGCACTTGAAATTCTGTGCCGCCCCCGAACAGCAAGCAGCAGTAACGGATTGTACCAGTCATTGACTGGGAGATGCAAGAACTTTTTTCACCAGCGTTCACATCTTTCTTGGTAGTAATTATATATGATATATATGTAAGTTGTCATGGCCATGTTTCTTAACGATCACAAGCGTGCAGCCAATGGATTTTGATATCATTGAAACCAAAAGCCAATCTCAGTCAGACAAGCGTGCAACTAACCGCGATCCGGCACAGGGAACCCAAGAGTATCCCAAACTCCCAGGAGTCTAAGTCTAAGAAGAAAAAAAACCTCAGAAAATCACTGCACTTCTCTCTTTGCCCTATCAATTTCAGGATCCTAAAACGGAGGTACCTACCATATATAAGGCCTATGTAAGGCCTACAAAATATGGCCTTATATGGTACAGTACCTCCATTTTAGGATCCTGGAATTCCCATTGATCCTATAGTCTCTAAGTTTTTAAGGGGGTAATCCCCCCATGACCAGCTCAGTTGTGGAGCCTTTTTCCTGTTCCTGCTTGGCGAAGCCAGCTCTGAGCCTTGGAGTCATACGAGTCATACCACAGAGGTTGGAGAAGAAAAAAATGGTCCCAGTACAGATGGTGATATAAACATTTATATAATGGGATTTAATGGTGATTTAATGGTGATTTAATGGGATTGAATGGGGTTTACCATAACATAACACAACATATGGTTTTCTGAGCACTTAACCCTCTTGTTATTTAACATAGCCATGGAAATTTGTCCATTTATAGATGGTTTACCTATTAAAAATGGTGATTTTCCATGGCTATGTCAAATAACCAGATGGTATATATATATATATTGATATACCATATTCTAAGACATCTGCAGATTCGGATGGCCATGGGCAAATCTGAGGTCAGTCACGTCTTCCTCATGTCGAATGCATCCTCCTTGTCCGCGTAGTATTTCTCTTCAATATCCTGGAGGAACAGGAAACCCGCAGCTTGTCTTGGATACCCAGAAACACATGGTGTCTCCTAAATGGAATGTCATATTGATTGCCAAGTACTACAAAAGCGACAAACCAAGGGTAGACCCACAACACGTGAGGAAGTCGGAGTGTTCTTTTGCAAGCAAGCCTTGGGGTGAATTTAGCTCAGGTGTTCCGTCAATAGTGTATTCATGGGTATAGATTAGTATGGCTGGACATGGATTAGATGGGCTTCGTAGTCATCCATACGTTCGGTTCAGACTCTGGCAATCTAACCTGGTACTGAAAAGCTCGCATTTACAGCTGATTTTCCAATTCCAAACTGGGATTCTCCATTATCATCCATGATCATCACGTTTGCCAAGAGGTGTGATTCTTCTTTACAAAATTCACAGGCAATGACTATCTCGGCACAGGGACTTGCTCACGCCGCCTGAATCTCGAAGCCTAAGGTCTCCGAGTACAGAGAGAAAGCGGCTCTGTTGGTGTACCGAACCTGCAAAATAAGCCGCACCCACGGTGCTGTGGTGGCAGAGCCCCACAAGTGGCGGAAAGAGACACTCAGAGCACTCAGCTACCTTCACAACTGTGAAGAAAACCAGCACTCTTTCAGCACCCTTTTGGCTTTGCTCAACAAAAATCAACCTGTGCTTTTCATGACTGACCTTGGTCCTTGGATGCAAAACATGTTCTCCATATTTCTCCATAAGAATAGCTACAAGATGCTACAAGCACGCCAAGAAAAAAGAGAGGCCTACCAAGTCTTCATTTTTAGTTGTATAGCTAGCTGGTTGGTGGTTTCAACCCCTCTGAACAATATTAGTCACTTGATGTCACTTGGGATTATGCTTCCCGACATACGGAAAAATAACATTCATGTTCTAAACCACCAACCAGGAATGGGATGTAAGCCGGTTTTCTGGCAAACAAAGATCGGAAAATTCGGAAAATGAGCAGGTTTAAATAGGTAAATCTGCTGTAAATGTACCACGTCTTCATAAAGTTGTATAGCTAGCAAGGATCAACAAGTAGCAGCGAAACCACGCAGGTCTCCCAGGTCATCCCCAGACATCTGCAGCTGCTGACATGGAGAGACACGAACTCCGCATTGAAGCACTCCTCCATGGTGGCAATGGAGGCCCTGCATCCAGAGATTTTCGCAATGGAAGGTGTAGGATCGGACAAAATGAGAAATTACCCTCTGGTTATTTGACATAGCCATGGAAAATCACCATTTTTAATAGGTAAACCATCTATAAATGGACCATTTTCCATGGCTATGTTAGAGACGTGATCCGGAGAGAGGTCTGCAGAGTTGGTTTCGACCAGCGAAACCCGAAACCCGAAACCCGAAACCCGAAACCCGAAACCGACTCTGAAGACTTAACTTCCCCAGGACCGATCGAAACCCGAAACCCGAAACCCGAAACCCGAAACTCTGAAGACTTAAGTTCCCCAGGGCCGATCGAAACCCGAAACCCGAAAACCCCGAAACCCGAAACCGACGAGCCGAAAGTGGGTTTCAAAAACCCGAAACCCGAAACCGACAGCGAAAGTGGGTTTCAATCGACGAAACCCGAAACCGAAACCCGAAACCGACAGCGAAAGTGGGTTTCAAGCGACGAAACCCGAAACCCGAAACCCGAAACCCGAAACCGACAGCGAAAGTTGGTTTCAATCGACGAAACCCGAAACCCGAAACCCGAAACCGACTCGAATCCGACTTTTGGGTGGCTCTCCGGATCGGAACTCCTATGTTAAATAACCAGAGGGTAAAGTGCTCAGAAAACCATATGTTGTGTTATGTTATTATGTTATGCTCACCCAGAAGCAACCAGATTTGCAAAAAGACTTGGGATGCAACCTGCCAAAAATTGGAGATGTCCACGAACAGAACTGTGGGTTTCAATGTGCAAAACGCGAAACTTAAGCACCAAAAACGTGAACATGGGGAAACAATCCAGTGCCAAATGGGCCACTGCGGACCACTGCAAATGTCCAGCACACCTCATTAGCGCAGTCGCAATGCCCAGTCTGCGATAACCTGAAAAATCCACTGAACGGTGGCAAAGTAAAGCGCACTGAAAGTCCCTTCTGAGAGGGCGTTGGCCTCCCAAAACACGGAAAAGTGATGCGATTTCCCACCTGCAACATTGCTGGATGGGGTGAGTATACTCCTAACTACCTGGTGTAAGACTTACTGGTGCTTCGCAGGGAATGGATGGGAATGGGGGTTGCTGGGATGATTCTTACTAGTGATTCTGGATCATTCCCTCATTCCCTGCGTTTAGCACCAGAAGATGTTGTTGCGATGAACTCATCAGGGAACTCATCGCATCCCCCGATCTGGCAGTCAACTGAGCCAACTGTCAATGGATTGGATTAAAGGAAAATTTACAGGAAAGCCCCATATTTAATGGGAAAATCTATGGTTTCCTGTAAATTTTCCCTTAAACCAATCCATTGAAGCTGGGGGTCACAAGCTCCGGCAATTGATGGCTGGGGATCCCAAACTTCTCATGACCGCCAGGGAGGTGATATGGCCATGTACTTCATCAGTGTCCTGCAAGGTGCAAGCCTAAGGCCCGTGTTCCAATGTGTTCCAAGATGTTTCAAGATGTCCCAAGATCTTCCAATCTCTGGGATCCACCAAGATTTCCATGGGGAAAACTCACCATGCCAGAGCCTCTAAAAAAAAGGGCTTCGAAAACACCCCAAGTTCCCCTAGTTATAGGTGGTAAAAGCATCAGGTATAGCATCAGGTATCATAGGGAGAAGTGCAAAAACAACTAACAAGGGCAGGAAGTCTCCCAGCTGAATTTCAGCCCTTTTCATTGGTTTGTCACTGTGGTTCTGTACAATCAGCCACTATGAGGACGTAGCATGGGTGGAGCAGTGCCTAAATCTGCACTTCACTGGGCCTAAATCTTCCGCCTGGACGACCATGCACAGCTCCATCATCCATTCATGGTGAATCTGAGGGTTTTCCATCATGCATTCTTCCATCATAACCACAACCATCATCGTTAATGATAACAATAATAAACATATATATATATATACCTGGTTGGTACTTGACCTACCCCTCTGAAAAATATTAGTCAATGGGAAGGATTGTCCCATATATTATGGAAAAATTAAAAATGTTCCAAACCACCAACCAGATATGTATATAATTCAAATGTGAGACGCAGAATATGTGAGAAATGTGAATGGGTCAAAAGCTTGTACCCCCTATGGGTGTTCGTCGTCCCTACAAATTTTCGTATTATGGGTGTGTCCTAAAATATGGTATCCCCCCAATTGGCAATTTCAATAGGGAAAATGATGATATATGATATATATTGATATATGACAACTGATCCATTTATATAAAATTGGGGTACTATTTCCAAACAACCCCACGCCTAAACCTTGACCCATCCTAGAATGGATGGTGATCTCCAACATTAATCACAAACCACAAGGGGTTTTCCATGCCGCTGCTCAAATTTCATGAAAATTACTGATGGCAAAACTCCGTGTCCCAACCCAGGAAATCCAGGAACTCCTCTTCCATCTTGGCAAGGACATATCCGACAATCCGATTTTGGCTATCAACCTCCATGCATGGGGCCGTTGCGATGTTTCGCACTGTCCAAGGATTCTAAGCCTAAAACAAAAGGGTATTGGGTTCTTAAGCAGCAAATAAAAAGGAATCATAGATAGGGGAGTTAACCCACCTGTAGGGGAACATTAGCTAATGTTCCCATATGTTCCCATCTGAAATAGAGACACTCTGGTGTCGTCGAACAGCTTACCACGAGAAATGGCCATGTTAAATTACCAGATGGCACTTTGCGTTACAGCAACACTGTTGTGAGAACTGTGAGAACTGATGTATCAAAGATATGATATCCAGAACATTCACATAATGTATGTGTATCGTGCATCTAGTTGGTAAAACCTCTATCCTCCACCCAGCACTTAACCATTTAACCTTGAGTTTTGACTATTAACACCATATTGGCATGTAGCATTCATTGAACCTGTTAAACCCTGGATGGTGAAAACATGCCAAATCCTGTTGAACCCAACATCTTTGACGCTTAAACCCCGGTCGCCATCACCCTCCGCATGAGTAGCTGGGACCCCGGGCCGCTACTTGCGGGAGCTGTGGCCACGACAAGGCATGGTACAAATAGTACTTCCTCAGCGTCACCGCTGCAGGGGTCCAAGCGATCTCAGGGTTTTTGCCGTTGAAATTTCAGCATCACCACAGCCTTTGTTGTGCATTCTTGGCAAAGTCCGCAGATTGTCAAGTTTTCACTGGCCTGACCCCTGAACAATTGCACACCAAACACCAACCCAGGGATCTGTTTGAGTTCTAGTGCCTTCCCCCATTGAGGACAACATCCAGCTGAAACCTTTCATCAGAATGAACGCTTTCCAAGGCGCATCTGGTAGTTCTCCGGCAAGCAGCACAAATTACCTCATTTGGCCGGGAGTTACTCATCCTGCTTTTCAGCCTACCAAGGCCCTCCAAAAGGTCTACATACTTGTGTAATCTTATGTGTGTACACTCTCCCTCTCCCTCTCCCTCTCGCTCTCCCTCTCCCTCTCGCTCTCGCTCTCTCGCTCTCGCTCTCGCTCTCTCTCTCTCTCTCTCTCTCTCTCGCTATCTCTCTCTCTCTCTCTCGCTCGCTCGCTCGCTCTCTCTCTCTCTCTCTTTCTCTCTCTCTTTCTGCTCCCCATTCTTTATACACATTTATACCTATATAATATATATATATACATACGCATATATCATATGTATATATATGTATAGATGTGTGTAAAATAGACATAATTATATGACAGGGTGTAGGTGTACCAAAAAGATCCAAAAAGCACCCGAGAACCCCATCTTCAAGTGGATCATGTCGTACCCAACTCCCCCATCCAGCGTCCAAGACACACGCTTGCATGCCTGGCAAGTCATCGATCGTCGCTGGACGAATGGACACCATGCCATGTGCCAACGACCCCAACGGCGACGCGAGGGGAGGCGTCCACTTCTGGGCGCGGCCGAACTTCTGAACCGAAAACGAAAAAAACGGGCAAAAGGTGGAGAATGTTGGACACAATGAAATTTTGTAGATTGGAATGCGTTTTTTTTAAGGCTGCAAATGGCAAGACAATTATGACCTCTCATAACTTCAGCGGCCATGATTGGAAAGAATGCCCCGTATGTTACTTTAGGGGTCACTGTGGGGACATGCTGGCTTTCCTGTCAAACGAATGTCTGTTTGAAGAGTGCAAGAGCCATGAGTCCCAATGGTAGGCCAGAAAATGGTCTACGATTCTTGCACTTGATACAGGTCAAAGCCTCCAAAATCTCCAAATGATGGTCATTTGGCGTCCAGGAATCTGACAAACATAAACGCTTTACTTGTTGAAATATGATTACCGGAAATGTGCAAGTGCTCCGGATCCCTGCGCAATTCTTTTACCTTGAATCTCTGGGGCTACTGCAGCTGTGCATCTCAAAAGAAATCAAAGATCAGGCAGTCACCTCGCAGTGTTATGAATAAAACACCTGGACAGATCCTCAAGCCATGAACATGTTCAGCAAATCAACCAAGGCAATCATGAGAATCCAGGTCTTGATTCCAGCAAGACCTGCAGGAGAAAGCTGTTTTTTTTTGACCCCGGGGGTTTTAAACCAATTCGTTTTCGCGGGGCAACCTGCACCAGTGGACCCTCATGGTTTGCCCGGAATCTCTTCACATCCACTGACATCAACAGCCAAAAACTGCGGCCACTGCGGCCAGGCGGCTCCGGATTTACGAAGTACTGCTGAAGTTCGCCGAAGGATGAGCTGCCAGAGACTACCTGGGTCCACTGAGTCAATGGTCACTGGACCCCTTGATCATCCCATAAATCCATAAGCCAAATGACAAGAGACTTGTGCTACCACCACAAGGACTTTAAATGCAAATGGAAAATGCAATGGGAAGACTTGCCACCAAAAAACCTGTGAACATGTTGCAAGAGCCATAAAATACTCCCATGATGTCAGAAGACTACCCTCCAGTTCCCCTTTAAGCGCCGTCCTCGATCTCATCCATCCCCATGACGCCCCCGTCCACGTGGCCATCGCACCGGGCCACCTTTTGCACCTTGGGATCTTTCTCCAGGCGACCATAAAACTGCTCCAGCTGGGGCGTTTTTTCGAAGAGGCTGGGCCGGCAGAGTTTCATCTGGTGCAGCATGGACCACAGGTACAGCTCACCCACCTTGGGGTGCTGTGAAGTGCCCATGAGAAAAAAAACGGTTTGGTTGAGAGTTGAATGTTTCTGTTGCAAGGCGCTACCACTAGACGCTCCGCCAGGCTGAACACAATTTAAGAATCGCCGAAACGTCGCACCGACCGCACAAAGGGAATCTCCGGTCCTGTCAACAATGTCGATATGATATCAAGCACCCGCCCCACACCATTGAATTTGCATTGTTCGCTCTGGTCATCCGCCCAATGAGTCCCTCCACTAGTTGCCCCAATGGTTGTTCTGAGGGAACATCTACCGGGATCCAGACTCAGCCAAGGTTCAGTCTTGCCACTGGACGTAAACTTGTCCTCTTTCAAAAGGGCATCCAACTTCTGCATTTGATTTGGCACCCACTCCTCCGCCGAGCTGTATAGATAATCCTTTCTCCCCAGAAAGCCTTGTTAAATTGCAATTTAGAGATGTACTGGTGTCGGGCCACTTATGAGGTGAAAATCACTGAATTATACTGAATTATTAGTTAGATTTAGTTAGTCACCTTAGTTTGAAATGGTTTAAGTTTTGACATGTTCAATGTTTGCGTACTAAACCATCCTCACCATGTGTTTCATGTCATGGCTCCGGACCTGCCAGAACTTCTCGTTGGTCGCAGCGTCACCCTTCATGGTCAGACCGTCTCGCGCCAAGGTGCCCAGTTTTACCTCAGCCACGAGGGATCTTCACAACATGTTTCTCCGCCTGTAGTCCAACCAATCAATACAAATTGCCTTAATTGATATCCATTCCTATCCATCATGATGATCAATCTCTCTCTCACTCTCTCTCTCTTTCTCCATCGCCAACTCTTGAGATTAATACAACAGATGCGTTTCCATAAAATCTGCGGATTTCCCCTTGCTATGTGTCATTCTCAGGGGGCAAAACTCACTCTCATCATCTTGGTGGCTGTATAGGTGGGCTGGAATTTCTGCATGGCGATATAGAGGTCCTGCAAAAGGCTGGCAACAGTTCAATCGAAGGGACCGGAAATGGTATAGAACCAAACATGTTGCAGTGGCATCAATTACATACTATGGACTATGGATATCAATGCGCAATCATTCATTCATTCATTCATTCATTTATTCATTCATTCATTCATCCATTCATGTATTCATTCATGTATGCATTCTTTCATTCATTCATTGATTCATTCATTTCATGTCATGTCATGTCATGTCCTGTCTATATACTTACGTGCTGTTGATTAAACTCAGGGAAATCCACAGAAATAGTCAGGTCATTGGGTGCTAAAGTGGTACTCTGTCCATCTCCGTCCCCATCGGACCAGTTACTGGCGAGGCAATGAAGATCGCTATAGATAGCATGGCCAACGCATTCCCCAAATGGTGCCATGTCTATAAACATACGGCCATTGACCAGGCACAACAAGTTACACTTGGCTACAATAAATAAACTAATGCCTCAAAATCCTCAAATCCAATCAGAAACCATCCCCAATGTCATTATGTCATTTTTTGGCGGGCATTCCATTTGATGCAAAAATGCCCCCCCATTATGGTTGGTTCCTGCAATGGGTTACACAGGGCATAGCACCATAGAACATCTGCACCATCTCCATTCAAGCCAACTGGAAACGGAGCCTGTGCAAGTCTACTCCAAAGACTCCACTGTTCAACACATCAAGGCCCGAGTTTCGAGTTTCGGTGCTCCGATCATACAAGAAATTTGTTTAGGGATTCATAGGGATTCAAACCATCATGACCTGTAGGGCCTGTAGGAGTCTAACATGACCTGTAGGGGGTCCAACAAGACCAGCCATTGGTGGGCCTATTGCTACTCCTTTGGGGTTTCTCTGAAGAAGTAGGCGGAAAAACAATAAGTTTGATGGCGGCTTTACGCCTCACTATCCTCATGAAAATCGCCAGTTGCAGTTGTGGTCAATCCCCGCATCAGCCAGTTGGGATGGAGCAGTCCTCACCCTCTGCCAGCAGCGATTGAGACATGGCAAAGTCTTCCACTGAAGCACCTCTGGCAGCAGCTGTGGCCAGGGGAATCTCAATAACAAATTATCCAATGGATGTGGGGGGTATCCAAAGGGCACATCGAATCCAAATTTGGTGACGCATTTTCTGAAAAAAATCTTTTGAGGTGTCGCTCTACATCCCAAATTGAATGGAAAAATGAGGTGCTGCCTGATTCCCCCAATGGGTTTCATCATCTCACCTTGAGTTTTCTCATTATGGCATGCAGCCCAGCCCCAACCAGGTCTACCAGCCTTCCAGCCCGGAGACTTTGCCAATGTAGTTCCTGAAATTGCAGGTTCGCCACCGCATTAGGATTTGGATTTGGGACTGGATTTGGGACATGCTATCACAGAACAGGGCTATCAATCACAGAACAGGGCGCAAGATAAATGCTTGAACGCCAGTTGGCTAAGAAGTGTTTATGGTTTATGGTTGGGAGTGAGAGGCAACACGAAACGACTATACACGCAAAAGCATATTAAGTATATTAAGTGAACCTCAATGGCCCACATTCTACACAAAAGGACTCGAAAATAGGACAATGAAATCGCCATGGGCCAGAGATGGCCAAAAGAGCACAGGACGCACAGGGAATCTCTCTCTCTCTCGCTGGGCGTAGCCAGCAGCGAGCCAATTTTCCAAGACACAACCTTGTTCCTTTCTTTTCTGAAATCCATGTTCCTTTACCATAGCCTCAAGTCAATCAAAAAAAACAATGTTGAACTGACCCCGGTAGGCCTTCTGGTAGGACATTTCAATAGCTCTATTGCCCTTTGTGCATCAGAACACAATCACCAAATTTTTTCCAAGCGATTCACATGGCACTTTCGCCTTCATTTTTGTGCTCCATTTGGCACAATTCTTGTCCGTCCATCCCCCTCCCGTAGATCGGGACCAAGTCACACAATGGCGATGCACTGGGAGATGCGAATCGATGAAGCTTCCAGCAAAGGCAGTTGGCCAAAGGCACATTTCCCAGACTCCTACGCCAGTTCACCATCCATGGCAATGGGATGACAACTGGGACTGGTGCCTCAGGTTGGGAGTCCGGAGTAGCAACTGCAAAACTGGGTTATTTGGCGAATTAATGTAGGGCATTCCAAATATCAAGAAGCCCACAATCCTAAGTACAGTTTTTCCACATTCCTTCACAGTGAGTTCCGGCAGTAAATCACCAAGGTCCGGCACTTTGGTCTTGCCACTACCATGGCACACTGCCATGGCACTACCCCAGATGGTCCCCAGCAACACAACTCATCTGCTTGCAGGAAGGTTTACCTGGCACTATGTTTTCTTCCTCATCTTCCATGTCTTTCAAGGCTCAAGGTGAATCCACCCAAAATAAATCCGCCACCTCCAGACTCCAGACTCCAGTCCTTCAACTTGGGCCAGTCATCACGAGTAAAGCCCAAGTCCTTTGGCCCCAGCCATGGCAGGCCCGACAGCTCCGCAACCAGAGCCGGCCCCAGCCCTTTGGCCATCAATGGAAAGTAGTAGAGCCTCAACATCGCTGACATATGGAGGCCCAATGGAGGCCAAAAATTGGGGAATTTGACCAACATTGACCAACCAAACTGGGATGTACTGGCAAGCAAATTGGATTTGCCCAACGGGCAACTGGGCTTCATCAACACGGGTTGGATTTGATCTGGAAAAATTGCGTTCGCCCAAGCTATGGTGATTTCACCATCGAAAAAAATAACTATTTGGGTGGCCAGGAGATTTGGATTCAATGCCAATGTTGTACTGAGTTCGTTACAATTCGCCTGGTCCAACGCTCAAGAATTAGTGGGCTAAGCGCCAAAAATCTCCAGAAAAATCACCACGGTTTACCTCAAAAAAAGGAATCAACGCAGGTGATTCTCCGATTTTTTTGGGTGAAGATCCCCATGGCCTTGGTGAATTTGTTGATTTGTTGACCTCCCCACCCGCAAAATCGGGAAAATCCAGGCGCTTCATTGGCTCTTGCGCCATGGCTGCAGCCGGCCTGGGCAAGGCGACCGGGAAGAGCCGACGAAACGTGAAGATGTTCAGACATCCAAGTAGCACCGACGAATAAATCATACAAAATCATACAGCATCACATTAATATACAAACATATACAGACTGTTTTCCTCTTCCGAGCCATGTTGGTGGTCTCAATTGTTTGTTGTTAATTCAGATTGACCATGAAATGGTGAGTCAAGACACGCAAGGAGTAACAAAATCCATCAACCAACACTACCAAGACCTGGGACCTCAAGATCTTGTGGATTCAATGCTGTTGGCCCCTGAAACGTTGCCATGTTCATAGGTTGAAATGGACACCCGTACCCATATCATGGGCCCATCCTCGCACTATAAGGCCTCTTGCATTCCCATCATCCAGCATCAACGCCAGAACTTCATTCCAAGCTTGGCAACTATTGTCAGTATTGCCATTAAAAACATTGCGCCATGTCAATGACTAGCAATCCCCAAATGGCACAAAGATGGAGAACGTAAAATCCCACTTGGAATGGCATTTTAAAAAATATATATATTGGTTAGCATCGTCCTTTGCTGGAAGCCATTGGGTATACTAAGGTCCAGTTCAACCTTCTTCCTCCTACTGGGTCCACCCAAATATGCCTAAATCATCTTCAAACCATAGAAATTAATTGACACCTGTAAATCTCTACACCCGTAAATCTCTTCAACATCTAAGTTAACATACATATCCACACTACGATATGTTGCACCCCTTCGCGCCCACGCTGCCCTTTACGAAGCTTGCCTTTTCATCCCGACTCCCGCAATCAATGGGGAGGCCTTGGCTAATTGGACCCCAAAGGCCTGAAGTGGTCACTTGATGTCTCAACTTTGGGAGAAAACCTGTCGTGGAATTGAAAGCATGAAGATGCAAACAGTAAACATATCTTTACAATAAGAGGTGATAAGAGTCTATCAATTTTCGATCAAAAGGGCATACCAACTTACCAACTTTCCAGTTGTTCACTAGGCTCCATAACATGGCCGAAATCCGCAAACTCCCATGATGCATGGCCACCTGGGAGCACCTGGGAGCTCCTGCCCCAGGTTGCCCCCATGGTACATGGAGAGACATTGCCAATGCTTTGCCTGGCCTGTTTTCAATTGAGCAAATCACTTGGGCCCCCGACGGCTGCTGCCAAGCGATAGGGCAATGCTGGAGCCGAACTGGATGTTCCCCACTTTCACATGGTTGTTCCGTTGTTCCTTTTTTTTGCTAGGTTGTCCAGGGGAGTTGCCCGAAATGAAACAACATGTATAAGTCAATGAGGCAAATTACTGGACAAATTGCTGCATCACCAAGGTTGCAACCACTTGGGGTGAAAGGGGAAAGATTTGGCTGTTCCTTGTTTCAAGAAACCCTGGTTTTTACATCTTTTTTCCTGAACAAAGATTGGGGATGATTAGGGTAGAAACAAGAGAAATGGTGCTTTTATTACCAGATATCACCAGCACTGTGGACTAAACATAGGATTCAGCTGGAAAATGCATCCGCATCAACAGAAACTGGGGTACCACAAACAAGTCTGGATCTGACACCCTCTGGTAAACAAACATTTGCGGGGCATTCACGTGTCTCTTGTGCAAACGACTCTATAAACGGAAGCATTACAGGCATGTAATGTAGATGTTCCACAGTTCCATTCTCCCTTGCCATCTCAAGCAAAATGGTTTTCCGGAAACAGTTTCAGATGATTACTCCATATGAAACATGTGGGATGAGCTGATGACGGAGATGGTTGCCTTCCATGGTTAATGCCTGCCGTTTCAAAAGAAGAAGCCATCGGGATCTTACCCCATGATACCGCAGTTGGGGTTGTGAACCAGCTGCTGTTGCATCAGAAAGTCTGGTCTATCGACCCATGGCCCCGTTGCGCATCACCTTCTAACCTACAGGACCTACACGGGTCATGCCGCCATCGTTGGGGATTCCTTTTAATTAATGGGTATGCAAACCCCTCTTGATATCGATGGGAGGATGACCATCCCTTTTTTTCCAGGACCTTTGAACATACGCATAGCTTGTTTGACCATGGCACCCGAGGACTGCGCCCCTTTTTCTTCAGTCCAAGTCCAAGCTGTCCGCTGTCCATGGAAACTCTATCACAGGATCCGGGACTGAATCATTTGGATTCAGCAGATCAAACTGCTACCCTCTGGTAAACTAACAGTTTGCTATTGAAAATGGCCCATTTATAGTTGCTTCACCCATTAAAAATGGTGATTTTCAATAGCTATGTTAAATTACCAGAGGCTAAATTTTCTAAATGCTAAAGACTTTAAAAATATCTTAACTCTGGCAATCCAAGGTGTGAAGGGCAACACACCCAGCTCATCTCCTCGGCTTGCCAGGCCGGCCATGCCAGGCTGGCGCACAATGCCTGGACCCCGGGGCAAGGCACATTTGCGGGACCAGTGGGTAGGGATGGATTGGTTTTTTGGTGGGGGTACAATATCAACCATGCCAACATGGAGCACCCAGAAAACCCAACATGATCCTGGTGGTGAACTCTGACCTTGGGGGATAACCCAACTCATACCTTCAGAGTGTGGATGCTCGCGGCAAGCTCGCGGGTCACCGAGGGGTGCTTGTAGGCGAAAGGTGTTGCCTCCTGTCAGCTGCCATGGTCCGTGGAATCCCGTGGAAATCTTTATTTGCCTGGATGCATGTGGAAAAACATGTGCATCCCAGGTAGAATAAATGCGTATACTTGTGCGTGTGTGTGCTTGTATGTCGTGTGTGTGTGTGTGAGCCTCTGTTGCCTCATTCCTCATTCTGTTTCGGCTTAGGTTTGTGTCCAAAGACCCCTGAGACGGGCCTAGATTCTCTGATGTTCAGCGGCAAACCTAATTTTCAGTACCCAATTGTTGGATTCAGATCGCAAACCATCCCGAGTTTGAGCACCCAAATAAGAGCCCTACTAAATCCTATGCTAACACATATCATGCCATAACCACCTGTCCACGAGTCAAAGGCCTCTTGGCATGTCGCACTCTTCAAAGCAGGCCCTGAGTCAGGGATGGAAATACATGGGCCCCCTCCTGCCCCCAACAAGAGTTGCTGGTGCTTGATATCCCCCTAACTAATAGATCCCAACAAGGCCTTCTATAATCCATTTGTTTGGGGCGATCTTTTAGGAAGACCCTTGGATTTCCATGGGTTTCACCTTAAATCTGGAAATTGTTGAATATGTTTGAAGCATTTTGAAGCCCATGCAGTCTTGGAAACCCCAGCAGCTTCCAAGTGTTCCAAGGAATCAACCACGACCACGACCACCACCACCACGACCACGACGACTACGACCACGACGACCACGACCGCCACTACCACCAGGACCACCACGACCACGACCGCGGCCACCACGACCACGACGACGACCACGACCACGACCACGACCACACCAACAACGACCACACCAACAACAACAACAACAACAACAACAACAACAACAACAACAACAACAACAACACCAACAACACCAACAACACCAACAACACCAACAACACCAACAACACCAACAACACCAACAACACCAACAGCACCAACAACACCAACAACACCAACAACACCAACAACACCAACAACACCAACAACACCAACAACACCAACAACACCAACAACACCAACAACACCACCACCACCACCACCAACAACAACAACAACAACCACAACCAACAACCAACAACCAACAACCAACAACCAACAACCAACAACCAACAAACAACCAACAACCAACAACCAACAACCACCAACAACCACCAACAACCACCAACAACCACCAACAACCACCAACAACCAACAACAACCAACAACAACCAACAACAACCAACAACAACCAACAACAACCAACAACAACCAACAACAACCAACAACAACCAACAACAACCAACAACAACAACAACAACAACGACAACCACAACGACAACGACAACGACAACAACAACCACAACCACAACCCCGACCGCAATAACAGGAGCAATAACAAAAGGAAGAACCAGAAGAATAAAGAATAGAAGAAGAAAAGGAAGAACAGGGATAAGAAGGAAAATTATTATAGAAGGAAAACAAGGAGAACAAGGATAACAACGACAAACAACCAGCATCAGCAGCAGCAGCATGCTCAGTATCAGCAGCAGCATCAGCACGCGTAATGCATCAAACATCATCAAACCACATAGCAGCAGAGTTTCACAGCATCAGAGCATCATTACCATCGTCGAAGGGATCGGTGGCGTAATCACCAGCGCAACCAATCGAAGAGCGGCAACATCGTCAAGAAAGCACAAGGTCGACAAAAAACACTGTTTCATTCATGTTCATTCTGCCTGATCTCAGGTTGCAAGCAAACGCGGCCCCTTGTTTGCAGAAGAAACCACTCATTTTCAACACTTAAACTGCGAAACTGAACTAAAGTGGAGATCTTCCTAATTTTCCCTTGGGTCAACACGGGTCAAGCAATTTCTCCTTAAATCATCATTTTCCCATTAAAACCCACTAAATTTCCAGTTCATATGCTTATATAAAGAGATAAATAAATTTATAAATAAATATATAAATAAATAAAGAAATAAGTAAATAAATAAATATATAAATAAATAAATATATAAATATATATATAAATAAATAATTATATATATAGATATAGATGTAAGAGAAAAAAAATCCCGGCAAGAGACCCCAAACAGCGTGGGAGGACTAAAAAGATCATATATTATAACGTTGTTGATGATGTTAATGTTGCTGATGTTGTTGATGACAATGGTGAGGTTGATGATGATGTTGATGATGGTGATGATGATGATGATGATAATGATGATGATGACAATGACGATGGCGATGGCGATGAGGGTGATGACAATGAGGGTGGTGATGATGATGATGATGATGGTGATGATGAGGATGAGGATGGGGATGGTGATGATGATGATGATGATGATGATGATGATGATGATGATGATGATGATGATGATGATGATGATGTGGATGTTGAGGAGGAGGAGGAGGAAGAAGATGATGATGTTGAGGTGGATGATGTTGAGGAGGGAGACCGATCCCAAGACCGGGAAGCACACTTTGTGCGAGCCTGCGCGGTCGAAATGTACACGAACATTTCACAGGAGCCATTTTGCATGGATACTTACAGGACAAACGACCGGGGACACCTCTGGGGACATCGTTTTGTGCGAGCCTGCGCAGTCGAAATGCACATGGACACGTCACAAAAGCCATTTTGTGTGGAAATTTACAGGGAAAATGCCGGACACGAATCCCGCGACACCCGGACATGTCACAAGAGGCATTTTGTGCGGAAAGTTACAGCGAAAATGCCGGGCCCATATCCCGCGGCAAGCATTTTGTGCGAGCCTGCACAGTCGAAATGCACATGGACATGTCACTAAGAAGCATTTTGTGCAGAAATTTACAGGGAAAATGTCGGACGCTTCCGAGACCACCTCGATTGAACACCGGGCCTCAACTGTTACCGTAAGAACCCCTCAGTGTGGCCACACTGTTTGGGGAGTTATATGTCTTTCATTTCCACCAGTTATCATTTCCCCATCTTTTTTCCATGTCAAGCCCCTTGGCGCAAGGCACATCTGAGCGTCACGCCCTGCAGCTGAAGCACCCAAAAAATCAGGGGACTTCCTGTGTTATAAATGTGGTTTGAAGTCAGAAAATCATAGAAAATCCTCAATCTGTTAAAAGGGGAAAATCATGGAATATTGTTCAACAGAATGGAGGAAATGTCCCCATATCTAATCTAATTCATAGAAAAAATGGATATTCCATGATATTCCCAACTTGGGTTATACCCCATATAATCTACAGTATAATAGGTCTATAATCCCAGTATCTAATAACGTTAGTAAAACAGAGGAAAGCAAGAGGATCCGAGATCACCGAATTGACCGATTTGGTGGGTGGGTTTCCAACCATCAATTTATCTACGGCTGGTTTAAGAAATTGATGGGTTTCAAACCTTCACACATGGGGGATTCAGCACATTGAATCCCAATCGATCCTGGCCAGGATAAACCCCGAATTCCGTATTTTTACTGCATGATACGTGGCATTCCCAGGCAGTATAATATACCTCTATTCATGAACCCACCAATGCTGTCCATGGGTGTCCAACATGATACTGTCCCCGGTCCGTGCCAGTTGGAAACTCGTAAAATCCAGTGACCCTGCCATGGACGTGGTAAAGCAACATGTCTGTACAAAATTATAATAACTTATATAATTTCCTGACATGATATTTTTAGATATTTTTGGGGTTCAGCCTGCTTTCAAACCATCCAACCCGGGTTTACGCCTTCAGCATGCTTGAAATCATCATCCCAGTGAGCACTTGACATCAACCCGAATTCTGGAGGCCGTCCCAATGATCCAATGATCTGAAAAAATGGAACGAAAACACAAGAGCCCACTATAATGGGGGTAAAACAATAGTAAACCACCCCATTTGCTTTACCCACATTAAGATCATTAAGTTGGATGATCCTCCATCACTGGCACACAATGCCTGCGGCGTCTCTGTGCGACGGGGCATCTGCAGGTGAGTGCTCAACGCGCCATCCCCGGCAGCTGCCAAGCTGTTTTGCAAAGCATTCCTTGTTGGGATGTTGAGTGGCAAGCCAGCAACATGATGGAGAATGATGCAAGATATTCTACAACAAAGTAAAATGTAAATTTCAAGTTGTTCCTCTCTTGCAGATTCTGGCCTTACTTGAATGACCACTGATCACACGTTGGGCCTCACGTCATTCAAAACCCAAGACCCCCAATTTTTCACCAAGATGCCAGGAATTCGTATAGTGAAGGTACTCTGCCAGTATTACCAGGCACAGCTGTTGCACACCTCTCAGCTGCTCTAGCCTTTCCCGCAGCTGACTGGCATCCTCCGTTTCCTCCGTTTCGGTGCTGTCACCATTGCTGTGGGCAGTGGTGGACCTATTCGATCCATCGCCCCTGGCCGTGGTCAGGAATCTGGGCTTTGGCACCTGCAGCGCTTCTGGACCAAAGCAGCTGGGAATCAGCACCATCTGTGCGTGCTCTGCGACAGGCTGTCCGCCGGCGGCGCGGCGTGGAGACAGGGACAGTCAGCAAACAACCCACCAAACGCCGTTGCTTGAAGCCAAAAAGGTCATGCAAAACTGCTTGCCCGCGAGTGGAGTTGCCTTGTGGTGATGGTCAGAGTCACCCTTGCTTTGGGTTCAATAGAATGTTCCTTCACGGGGCACATCATCATTGAGAGCAAGAACTTCAGTTTCCAACATATTGGCCACTGCCAAGAGTGGTGGATGTGATGGGTATATACTGTAGAGCAGTGGCCAGCGAGTCAGCTAGATCCTTTATCTCCAAACACGACTTGTTCCAATGCAATAGCCTCCGGCAATCAAACATGGCTGGGAAATTCCCAAACTAAATGAAGGTTTACAGCTGGCAAACTCATGGAACTTTAGCTCGTGATTTTCCAGCAACATCCAAATTTTGGTTACTAGAGGGCATCAAAACCCCTAAAACCCAGGAGCATCCCAGCAATTTTTTGCCTCCCAGCAGTCGCCGGTCGCGACATGTCGCGACCGACCATTTCCGACACTCAGCTCTCGAGCTGCCTGGCCGGGAACTTCCTCTATCTCACACACACGCACATGCGTGCATGTCTGTATGTAAAAATGTCTACACTTGTAGTGTATGCATGTATGTGTATATATATATATACATATCCGTGTGTGAGTGCCTCAGGAGTAGGAAAATCAACGCATTTGAACACATGTAAACAAGCAGTAGGTCAACAAATAAGCAACATGTTTCACACGCACTCTATACGCATGTTGCATATCGTGTGTGTGTGTACCTGTGCAACGCATATCTAAGCCATGCTCGGCACCAAAGTCGACTCTCCAAGCGCCATTCAAGAGGAGCATGAAGCCGTTTGCCAAGGCGTTGTTTTTCAAGTCCAAACGGAAGAATTAGGGAGCCACCAAGAAATCAATTGTCGTCACCAAACATCGCAAAATAGGAGCCAACCCACTAATCACACAAGCAAACACCAAGAAGGGATCACCCTTTCATGGATGCACAGTCAACCTTGGGGGCACCAACCCCTGTTAGTCTCTTTCCTTTTTTAATAGGGGAAGTACCAAAAACATCCACAAATCATTTGGATTATCACATGTGATGATATGTGATGACTTTTTGTGGGTGCCCACTCTACTCTTAAACAATGGGATTCACTAATTGTGGCGGAGAACCAAGGCGACAGCCATGATTAAACCGCTGCACACCTTTCTTTCACCGCATTCCTGATGCAGGCTGTCGGAGATTTCCTGTCTCTTTCCATCCTGATATGTGCCAGCCCTCTATATCTATCTGAATCTATCTTGAAACTTCATCACCCAAAGACTTGGACATTGCTGAAACGAACACGTTTGGGCCTTGAAGCACCATACCAGCTACCATAAAACGGCCAGTAGCAGAGCTATCGTCAGAAACAGCGTGAATTTCCAGTTGCCCAAGACCCTTGGCCATTCGGTTTGTGGCACCGGGCCGCAGGGGGTCATCACGGGACAGCGGCCCAACATTCGATCGATAGCATTGGCCAACCAATAAGCAATGCAGAGCAGCTGTTCCAGCTCACCGCCCCTCACTGGACGTTGCCACTCAGGTCCCCTGAACTCCAGCTGCTGCGGAACAGCAGCTGCGAAGGCTGCTGCCGGTGCGGCCGCAGCAGAGGCGGCAGGTTCGGAGGGTCGCGCCTCCACATTGCAACGCGGCAGACCCAACCATAAACCATACCCAATTGCTCTACCACAGTAGGCACGCTGCACTTGAGTCGTAAGCCCTAGGCAAAATTGCATAATACTTGGTTATGCTTCAGCCATTCTCGTTTTCAAGCAACCGTAGGGATCATACTAGCGAGTGAGACGAGTGAGGTCCTGTTCTACCTTCAAGGTTCAGGATCATGAAGTCGAGCAGAAACGTTCCGATTGATTTCATGTGCACTGGCAGTCCTGAAGTTGGTACATGGTAAGTACCTAGTGTACATTTAGTGTACATCATCTCAATATGTCCTGGCCACGGGGACATGACAGGCATGCCAGCGTACTACCCATCAATCCCATCACGGTCAGTTCATCGATGCGTCGGCAGTGGCCTGTCCAATCTCCTTCAACACAGTCTCGGCAAATGGTTTATGCTTGCTGGTTTCCTCCAGCGCAGGGAAATGCCTCAAAGTGCGCAGGGAAACTCCGGCTGTGATGGCTAGTGAACACCAAACATGGCTAACGCATTTCTTCTAATCTTGTGAAACGCCGATTTGCAGGGGGAACCCATCCAATTCATCCATTTACGGTCCCAGTTTTTTGTTGGTTAACTTCAGATATGTATACTATATGTTTATGTATAGCTTCACCATTTCGATCTCCTTGATGAACCGTTGGAAATCCACATAGCTATCATATGTTCACCATCTAGAAGCTAGGTCTACTTTCCAGTTCAAACCCCGAAAGCTATTTTTGGGTGGCCATATATTATATGCCATTGTATCTTGAATACATATTCCATTCTTTGACACCGGGCTCAAAGAAAATTGCTGAAATCCAAAATCCCAAAACAGAGCTAGATGGCCTACGCCCTATGCCCCCCGTAAAATAGTTGCACCCAACCCAACTATCCCAGTTTGGGGGTTGCATCACCGTTATATCATTAGCATTTAAGCAGGCCATAGCACCCCCTAAGCTATATCCGCATCTTTCCAGTTAGATGGGTCCAAATTAATACAAGATATCCATTATGCATTGATAGATTGTTAGTTAGATCCGCATGTTTGTTGAGTATATCAACAGTATACAATATCCCCAAACATGGTTGAAACCCTACTTTTGTCCCATTTTGTTGTGTATATATATATATATATAAATGAATATAACTGTCCAATTACATCATCCAAAGATATACAGTAGCCACATGGTCAATGATACAGATTATCCCATTCAATCCCCATGATATCCCCAGATTGCTGGCTATATCCTATCAATCCCACCAAAAATACACCATAATTAAACTTAAACATTCATAAAATTATGTACATTTTGTTGGTGATATATCCGAAATCCCCAAAAAATGCATCAAAAGCCACTTTTGTGATGTCTACCTTTTCTTGCATTTTTTGTACCTCCCATCCTTTCTTTTCCCCTGCATCATCACTGCATCACCCCGTCCCCGTCGCCATTTCCACCACGCTGCCCCGCCCAGTGCGGTGAGTGCTGCAGCTGCCGGCTGACCGCCGCCAAAAGGGGCTGCAACTCCACCACTGGGGCGGCCGCCAGCAGCGCCGCCCAGGTCACCGAGACAGCCATCCTCGGGTCACCGAAAATGGTGGAAAAATTAGGCGATGTTCACCATGAAAACGAGGGGGAAATGTATGGAAACGTGGGATTTAACAATGAAACATTGGGGATTTATGTGTGACTATAGCTAACTTGGCTTATAAGTCATCATCAAACTGTTGGGTTTGGAGTCGATTCATCGAACTAGTAGATGGGGTGTATATAAGTTGGATGAGAGAATGGAAGAAAACATAAGAACACAAGCAAACTTGATTTTAAAAAAAGATTTGGCGGTTTTTGATGAATCAGTGACTATCAGTGAATGTAATTAGTTGTTATTCCCCACCTGCCAGGTGAGGGTTGTTAGATTTTATGTCAGTTGCCTGCTCCTCCTCTCCTCTCCTCTCCTCATCTCCTCTCCTCCTCCTCGTCGTCCTCCTCGTCGTCCTCCTCGTCGTCCTCCTCGTCCAACTGCGACCCGCGATCCACAGTGTTCTCTGTCGGACCTCAACCACGACTCTGAAACAGCACGGTGGCATAATTACATAGAATATCATATCATATATATATATATATTGCAATCTTCCATCATCTTAAACATATCTTAACATATCTTAACATATCTTAAGATATCTTAACATATCTTAAAATATCTTAGCATATCTTTCCACTTTCTTGGACTCTTCAGTTGGGATATTCGGATATTCGACCGGGCGAGCCATCTGGAAACATCTGAAGCCAGCAGATTTGCCAGATAATATGCCAGAAGATATGCTAGATAGAATGCCAGATGGAATGCCAGAAGATTTGCCAGATAATATGCCAGAAGATATGCCAGAAGATATGCCAGAACATCTGCCAGAAGATATGCCAGAACATCTGCCAGAAGATATGAATGCCAGAAGATATGCCAGATAGAATGCCAGATCGAATGCCAGAAAATATGTCAGATAGAATGCCAGAAGATTTGCCAGTAACAAAATGTATAAATGTCATGGTGGGGATCACACGAAGTAAAGTAATTTGTTGCAATGGAGTGACGCAGAGTAGTAGATTTGGTGAGAAAATGGGAACATTGGCGAAAATGCGCAAATTGAGTTTCAGAAATGGGGGAACATAGCCATTGGCGGTTAAGTTGGTTACGTTGATGCTTTTTCAATACATTACAATACCTTCAGTTGGTTAGTTGGTTCGCTTACTAAGGTTAACAGAAATGGAAGTTGTTGATAAATGAATCAATGAATTGGGAGTTTGGGGATGCTTGGGGTGCGGGACACAACTAGAAAGTGGTGAACATCTCCAATTAATCTAACTGGGGCATCGGTATATCATGGTATATCAGGTATATCCCACTAATCTAACTGGCTTAAAGGTTACATGGCTAGTACCCAATTATAAGTGGAAAGTACATCCAGGTATCCATCCCAATCTTGATGAGAAAATGGGTGAAAATTAAGTGCGCCATCACCATACAATTGCCTGGGACCAGAACAACTGGCAGGTTCAGCTTGTATGACTAGCCCGACGGCACATAACACATACCCCTCAAGGAGTGATACATGTAGTGATGGTGCTTATCGGCAACAACATGTTACATCTGTCAGCGTAAGTACACATCAGCAGCGAAAAGTGCTGGCTATTCGCAACAAGACCTTGGAAAGACAGTGAACAATCGGAACAGTACCGGTACAGACGACGCAGGGGATACACATCGATATACAGAAAATCTCAGAAATTTATGTTGATAAAACTACTATGAACTACTCACTGATTTGCTTATTCTGAAGCTACACCTGACTGGGCCACTCACCGAGCCAAGTGTCAGCAACTGAGGTCGCAAGGAATCCTCAAAGATGGGCAGCATAGGATGCTCCAGCACCACACCATACTCCAGCAGCCAAACCCCAATGTCTTGAGGAGGACAGCTGTGCAAAACCTGCATTGATTGCCAAAAAAATCTTTCACCTTAATTGATATCTTGGACTGCCATGTTGAAGTACCAGAGTCTAAAGACATCTCAAACATTCTCAAGGCCTCAGCCATCCAAAATCATGAAATCAAATCACAGCCCCAGAAAGGTGGGCCTGTAGCAGCTGGGTATCGCTGAAACACAGCAAGACCTGCGCCAGAACTTTCAATGCCTCAGCTGGTGGTTTCACATGGTCTCACCCCATCCGAGAAGGGTTGGTCCACTGGGATCATGATCCCAAAAAAGGCTGAGAACGAAAAAACACTGATCTAAAACCAACCATCACAGGTCATCACCAACCAATAAAATCAAACAAAAACATGCTGCTCTATGTGGTTAATGAATGTTTATCCATCATTCCCAGGCAGCCCAGCCGCTTGTATGGCATTCCGCTGCCTCAACAGCTGCTGCGCCGTGGGCGCTGGCGCATTGCCCCAGGAGCTTCGGGCGGAGCTCGCAGCCGTCAGCCCAACATTGGCCAAGAGCCCCGGGCCCCGGTCCCAGCCCGCGCAGCTGCGGGCCAGCTCCAGGCAGAGCTCCGCATGGAGAGGGGTGGAAAGGATGGACTCCAGCAGGAAATAGGCACCTGCTTGGGAAAATTTGGGTTGAGCTGCCTGTTTGATCCTGCTTGTCAGATTTTCAGCCCAACTCCCCAACAAAAAGATCTCCCTCACCCCAAATCCAAGAAACAGCCTCAACTCCCAAGCCTCAAATGATCAACCCAAATCTAAAAAAACCTTCCACATTCCAACTCTCCATATGAAATCCCGTCCACCTTGGAAGCCCGCCACGTAGTTTCTCCAGGAGATGGCATCCCCATCCCCCGGCACCAGCTGCGCCGCCTGGGCGCTGCTGGCTGCCACCTGCACCGCTGCTGCGGTGAGGCCTGCTGCAGCAGCCAGGCGGGTGGTGGCGCTTAAGGCACCAAGGGCCTCCTCTTCCACGAAGTCCTTGGGGACCTGGCAAGGTGACGGGGAGGGCCCGAGTGTGAAGCCACGTTTGGAAAAAAATCATTTGAACATTCCCAACCTTGATTGAAATTTTAGACTTTTTTGATGAACATGTTTGGGAAGGAATTCTGGGAGATTGGATTGGATGGCTGGGAATGGGATTGGAACAGACTTCTCCCACCTGTTGTGCCCAGATGCGACCAAACATATTGAAGTAGATACTGAAGAAGTGGACTTAGAGTGAAAAAACTTTCAAGATTTTTTTGCTTTTAGACTGGAGTTTCTGTCCATCTTCCCGCATCCATTTCAACGTTATTTGGCAATTTCTGCCTGGTTGCTTTAAAGAAAAGTGTTCTACAGTATAGGAAAACATGACTTTCTGAAATTGCTTCGCACACCAAGTTTTTTGGTCTGCACTTTCCTTCAAAAATTGGTGCCGCCAATGCAGAGCCTCCGCAGTGGGAAAATCGGAGAACATGTTGCTGGTTGGGGGGAAGTTTGATCATGGTGGGGCGAAATGTTGCAAAGAATTTTGGGAGAATGTGGTTGGGATTGTGGAGAAGAGGGACTGATGCTGAGTGAAAACTGGGACATTTGGAAAGCTTTGGAAGAAAATGGTGGTACATTTGGGGAGATCTTAGGATAAGGTGGAGGTTACCTCAGAGGTTCACCGCCGAGGATGGGAATAGATCGAAGTTGGGCGCGCAAGATTGGAGGTCGTTGAAGCGCCGGAGCCAAAACACTCAAATGAGATCAAAGAAAGATTTCATGGTCGCATTATCCCCCCAAAAAAGGATGTAACGGTGGCATCATTGGGCATAATACCATTACCCTCTGGTAATTTAACATAGCTATTGAAAATGACCATTTATAGTGGATTTTCCCATTAAAAATTGTGATTTTCCATAGCTATGTTAGTTTACCAGAGGGTAATACCATTATCCCCCAAAATCCATCAATTTGGCACCCCGAAAGTGGCCCCAAAAATCATGGCATCATATGGCATCCACTGCCACCGGCGACGCCTGTGGCACTGGAGGCTCTCCAGCCATTTCCGGCTCCAGCCCAAGTAGTGCCACATCCACTGGGCGCGTAGGGGCACTTCTCGTGGCAGGTGCCTGGGTTGGAGACTGGGGGTACTATGGAGATATCTCACCTATTGAAGATCTGGCAGGTTCCAATGGGTTGCAGTTGTTGCTGAGGCCTGACATATCCGACAGCCCTGGAGCTGTGCTACAAATCAGCACCTCCATGCATGACCTGTGGACCCCATGACCCATGACTCTTTGATTTTCGTCGGAAAAAACCAGCATGGTCTCGAAAATCCAAAAAAAACGTCTATAGCGAGCCGCCAAATACATAGAAAAGTTCACTGTTCAGTTCTCTCCTTCTTGTGCATCATCATTCCCACCATTGTTACCTTAGGGTACACTAACGTAGATGTGGAAAACCAACGGTTTCGGTTTCGCTAGGATCCAGAAGACTACTTAAATGGCTGATTTTCCACATCTTTGTTGGCTTACCCTAATAGCTATATCATACACATCTATGTTGGTTTGTCCTAATAGCTATATCATACATATCTATGTTGGTTTCCTAATTTTCCACATCTATGTTGGTTTATATTATACTACATCTCCTTCCCTGCCACACACAGAGGTTCCCCCCCTTTGTTTCACCATGTTTCACCCAGGCACCGGAGCTTCCAACTTGGGCTCCGGCGAGCGCAGAGAGAGGTACCACTGATAGAGCCTGGGAGCCTTCCAGGGCTGCAGCAGGATAAGCCACCTCAGCTGCAGGCGTGGCTTACTAAACCATTTATAGTTGATTTACCTATTTAAAACAAGTAAATGTTTTGCATAGTTATGTTTGCCAGAAGGTACGTTCATTTGCCCCATGTTGAAAGTATCAGTACGTCCAGAGGGGTCAAATGTTTGAGATAAGCTCATTTGGCCGTGCATCTCATTGAGTGATTGACTAATAAGCTAGCCCCCAATAAAAAAACTCAGTGTTTCCAGGATGTTCTAACATGATGTGTTTCCATTTTTTCCCATATTTTCCAGGTGTCCACCGCTTCTACTTTTTGACACACCCAAGTAGCCCGGAACAAGTGAAGACGGTAGACTGAACATGGGGAATACAAACATGTGGATACGACCTACAAGTATGTTGACCCATTCCCTCTATTCGGAAATTCACAGGAAACCAAATTGCCCTTCAACCAAGATGCCCCTGATCAAGCCTGGTTGCACCCATTCACAATCTCAAATCAATGACTAGAAGTAAAAGACCAGGTTAGCAGTAGCAGTAGCTGTATCCCAGCAATCCTGCACCGAAGATTTCGTGGATTTAAGGTGGCGAGCCACTTGTGTCTGAGCTTCCCCCAAACACTGAAAATATCCAAATAGCACAACAACTCTCAGAACTCAGCATTGTTTACACGAAATTTCGAGCTACAAAAGGACCCCCAATGAAATTAATCAAAGTATTCAAATCCATCCCAACAATCTGCTGAGGAAAGCATCACATCTCCATCCCACCCATGGAGCTCCATATTCCAAGCACCAGGCTACAAGCGCGTCATGGAGCTGATGGTCTCCAAGCCCACTTCCTTCTGAGATTGCAATTTCCTCAGCAGCTCACAGAGCATCTGCAGCACCGCGGGGCCCAGCATCGAGAGCTCCCGGGTGATCCGCGCGTTGCGACCCCGCGCCGCGAACATGAGCTGTTCGGCCGTCTCCTCACATCCTGCCGGTGGGGGGTGGGCTGCCGGTGGGTTGGAAGGGGGTGCCGGGCGATGTGGCAACCGCTGGAAGGAGGGGGACAAATCAAAGATCTGTCTGATTGATTTGAGTGGCTATTATCGAAAAGTGAGGACTCGCCCATGAACTCGCTAAAGTAAACAAGCCACAAAAGTCTCTCCAGACCCAACTTTAGCAACGTTCTTCCATGGCAAACCTCCTAGCTCAGTGACCCACGACACATTCCCAGATCCTTGCCGCAGGCATGGGTTTGCAATGATGTGAAGGAGCACCAAGCGGCAGCTGTGCAATGCAGCTGGTTGCAGCCGGACATCGGAGAAACACTGCAGAACCAAAGATACTGAAGACTGGGGCCGTTGCTCGATCAGAAACTCGTGGAACAGCCTCAGGTTGGAGGGTGGGACACAAAGGAAAGGGTCAGAGATGACATTTTGCATCCTGATTCCATTCAGACCCGCCCCACTGAAGACCCCCACATGACCTACTTCACTCTGACAATTTCTGAAATCTAGCATAATCTAACCACACCTCGCCAAGAAACCTGGTCAAGAACAAAGATGCCCGAGACTCTTGCGCACGAGCCACTTCATACTGCCGATGTGGAAGGTAGGCATGCAAATGTGCCAGCAACAACCTCTCAAAGGTCGAACTCAGCATCCCTTGCTGTCTCCCTCCACGACTTCCAGTGGTGCCACCAGGTCCACCCGACCCCCCCGACCCACCCGACCCTTGCTGCTGTCCCCAACCAGTGCTACCGGTGCCACCGGTACCACTGGCACCAGAGCTCCCTGTGGCACCCGAGCTGCTGCCGCTGGGTTTGATGACCGGCGCCTCGGCCACCAGGAAATACACCAGGGTGGTGAGCACAAACTCCTGGAGCCAAGGGTGTATTGCCGGTGGAGAGAAACGAGAAAGGCAGACTGTTGAAGTGTTTGCTTTCAGAATGAACCTACCATGATGGTAATATGATTGTTGGGCTTCCCAGTACATAGCCTATGGTGCAGCACTGTCAGGTTTTTGGTATCAGTAGATCGGCACACCTTCACGGAAACCTAAGGGAGTCCCTGCAAAAGCCACTCCCTCAACAAATCAGGTCAGATTAAGGGTCATTATATGAGCACCAACTATTATCAGGAGCTTCTTAGGAGCTTAAAAAGCCCCTTTTGTTGGGCGGAACCGAACCTGGTGTTGGACTTACCGTGGGGCCTCCCACTCCCATGGAGGTCTTCTCCTGCGCTGTCAAGGCTAAACCTTCCAACTCACCCGAAGTCCCCGAAGTCCGTGATAATCGATCCATGCCTGGGCAAGACATGGCTGGGACGGCTATGAACACCAAAAAGTCTAAAATACAGTTCAGTATATATATATATATATGTGTGTGTGTGTGGCCATGTCAATGTTGTATGCTGATTATTGAAGGGGTGATCTGTTTCTTGTGTCATGTAATGTTCATGCGGCATACATGCATATCTGGATTGGTCTGATGCGTATACCTTTGGTCCAAACACTAGAGCACATGGAAGAAACTTCATCTATCCAACTCTATCCATCTTGGTCATCTTGCTCTGCAGAGGGAACCAACCTGGCAAGCCGAACCCAAGAAATAGCCCCAGGTGATTTACCCCAGCACCAGCCATCGCCCAGGCACCTAACACCGCCAGCAAGGACTGGTTCAGGTCTTCCATCTGTCGGTTGTTGTAATCTCTGAATCTGAAATTGCTGTTGGATGCAGCCAAGACCTCGGTCATGCACCCCATGCTTGTCTATGTTTGTCTATGCTTGTCCCAATTTCACAGTGCAGCCCAAGAAATGGAAAGTTGGGAAGATGTACTTCTTGGTGCATATACATATACACAAATGTACATATACGTTATACATATCCTTTTCAAATAATATGTGAAAGATCTGTACATAAGGTGAACTCATCGCAAGCCAGCAGCCGTTTTCAAGGTCCGCGGCGGCAGTTTGCGCAGGGGGAAGATGAAGGCAGGCGTCTCCTTAGAGGTGCAAAGGGGACCAGCCATAGCTGCAGGTGGCATTGGCTTTACCATTTGGTTATTTAACATAGCCATGGAAAATGGCCCATTTATAGATGGTTTACCTATTAAAAATTGTGATTTTCCAGATGGTACCATATTAACAATCTGTTTTTCTTGGGTTTAAGGATGTCCTGATTTTCAAGATTGTAAGATGAGGTGTGATTGATTTGAGTTTGCCACATTGAAGCTGCCATCGTAAGTAGGAATCGAAGATAAACCGCTGGAGAATAGCAAGTACATAGGGGAGTTGATGGGAACACCAGTGGAAATACAACCCTTCACTGTGGATCCTGCTCGTTGCAAAATCCACAAGCGCGACATGTTTAGTTCAAAAATATGCCTGAGGCATGCTGGTGCCAACAGCCAGACAAGTGGCCATGGCAGCGAATAGAGGGCTCAAGGGCCCTTGAGGATGAAAGGTCCTCAAAACCGCTTCCTGCAGCGCTTTCTCCACGACTTTTGGAAAATCAAACAAAGAAGCTTGGCCTGTAGCCGTTGGGGTCCGAAAGTTTGAGGAAAAAACAATTACAGTAATCCAGAAACAGATTCTATACTTTGGGGAGGGAACGCCATTTGAAGAATGTCAAAATTATGCGCATGAAGGGGCTCGAAAACTTGCCGATAACCAAACAGACATGTGCACAACGTACCTCTGAATACCATACGCGCATGTCATCAAGCACTTTGAAACTCTCTTTAGGGGAAAAAAAAACTCTGATTGCTACATAATGGCAGTTATTGGATGCTAACGGCAGTTATGGTCTCAGCCTGAGTTTCTGCCTCCTCCCCGGTACCCGCCTCCAGCCCGGGATTGGAGAGAGCAAACCACCCATGCAGCCGTTGCATCAACCTTGGCTCCCAAACATCCTGAGATTAACCGACCAGGATCAACTTGTTACCCCCACTTAGTCCCACACACTTATATTATATGCAAGATAAGAATCAAAGAGACATACAAATATCAATAGTTACCTAGATATAGGTAGAAACATATACACATATACAATCATATGCACATAATTATGATTTTAAAAACATCATTGTCATTATATATCACTATGCTATAACATGCTATAAACTAATACCAACATCAATCTCCACATCTCCAGGGCCGGCACCAGGGCAGCCGTTCGTAGAGCTGCCGCTGCTCCGCGGGCCCAACATGCCGCGCCTGCAGCGCCTCTTGGCAGAAGCGGCGGCAGCTCTCGGCATCGCTGGGCAGCTGCAGGGCCGCCAGCAGCGCCATGGCGATGTCCGAAGACGACGAGGCTTAGAGAAGCGCCATGGGATAGTTATGCTTAGAGAAGGAAAAACAATTTTCAATGATGGTTAGATATCTATTTAGACGTTTGCCTTTCATTATTTCTTTCTTTCGTGCTCTAGTTGAGTCTGTTATATCGATAGATGCAGATAAGCAGATAGGTAGAGTTCATGGTTGTGGGTAAAGTTCATTGGGTACCCCTGATGAACCCACCATAAGCTGGCCTATGTTGATCTATTTTGGTTATCAAACCATCCATTTGGGAGGTTGAGATTGTGTCCTAGTAACTAGTATTAGCAAGCGTTTGTGCAAATAGTCAAAATTTGCTTGGGCTAAGCTCAGTTTACAGTGAAAAATCTTTCCAACAAGAGTTCAACAAGAATCGGAGATGAGCAGCTCTCCGCAGCTCGCCCAAGCTTGGTGCAGTAGTTTCTCCTGCTGGATTTGAGTGGCCTGCAGCTTGTTGCTGGCTCCTTCTTAGTTCTGCTTGTCCGTTGCTTCATCGGTTTTGGGCTATGTGCTAGTGGCCAAAAGGCAGCGGAATGCATCATCTCAAAGACAAGTGATGCAGCGTCACGGCCATCATCCCTCTGATGAAATCGCAGTGCCATTCTGTTGCTGCCTTTTCGTCACACGGCACAATCAGATCCAACAGTTTTCAGATCCAACCTATCAATCAATATATCCGGGTTGGTATGGGTCAAAATGGGATATATCATCACTATACCACAAAAATATGTTTAAAAAAGTTCATCCTTCAACAAAAACAGGTACAGTAACCAAAGAAAATCAATGATTTCAGCCTTCTAAAGCAAAATTTAGCTCCTGAATTTTGACCCACAGCCAGGTAGACATGGACAGGGCCATGGCTCGAAACGCCTCAGCTGAGGCCAGAAACCGCCTGCAGCAAGGTGTCAACCCACAAAGTTTGCTAAATCCATGGACTGTTGATGGTTGATGATGTTTCAGGGGGCACCAGGTTTTGTAGCAAATTACATCACTATTTTGGAGCATAATGAACCATCATAATTAAGCAACCAGGGTTCACTAGTCCGAGGCTGACATTACCAGCCATTTTGGTCTGCAAACGATCGTTTAGTTGCATACCAAAAGCAGTGCCTGGAGAAAAACACTGCGGAAATCCCCTGGTGCCTGCTATCCGACTAGTACTGTAGTGCGTAAAACCTGGATAAACACACTAGGCTGCGAGGAGCCGACCATCCTTTGGTGGTTCGAACCCCTAGCCAGTTCGCATATCCATTCTGCTTCCGGTGGAAGCTGAAAAAAGCAAAATCAAAACCGTAACCAGAACCCAGCCTTTGTATCCTTTGCCCCAAGAACTCCGCAACCCGATCCATCCGGCTCAATAACACTTCACCCAGCTATCCAACCACATCCAGATCAAAAAATCGATCAACTTACCCCCATCCCCACCCCATCCCCAACCTCCAACCATCCCCACCTGCAGCGGGCATAGGAACTGCGCCATCAGCTGCGAGAGGTCCCGCAGCAGCACCTTCTGCAGCAGCACCGCGGCGGCCGGATCTTCCCGTTCCAAGGTGTCCATCGTGGACCGCCGCAGGCGATACACCACGCAGTCCGTCTGGGCCACCGCCTCCGCGCCACACTTCCTTTTTGGGCCACTGGGGGGATGGGGATCTACTGACACGTAGGGGATGTAGGGGGTAGGGGATGTAGGGGGTAGATTCATTGGGCCAAGGTTGGTTGATGTTGAGAATGTTGAGATTGTTTGAAAGGTGATAAGACTCAACTGGAAGCCTAGTTGCAGGGTAGCCAGGATGAATGGTTGAAGATTCACAAAACATGGCAAAACTATAAGACCCAATGGAGGTAATATTCACATTTTCTGATGGGACAATTTATGAGTGGGAATGATGACAAGTTTGGGGATTGCCTATTTTCTCAAGTGTTGTTAACCCTGGGCCTGGACGCGCTGTATGATCCAAGCATCCTTCTGGAATAGAAGGCCGTGTCGTTGAGAATGGCTCCGACCCCATGCTGGTCATGCTCCTAAAGTGGATCATTCCAACTTCTACATACACCATCTGAGAAAACTCATTTGGGGTCATCCTCCCAAATGAGCTCCACAAAACCTCATCATCCCGAAACATTATTTTGAAAACAAGCAACTAAGCACACAAGTTAATTGGTCTCAATCATCGCCAAAAAAAACATGAAAAACGTTCACAGCCATTAACCCAACCAAAAAAAAACGAAACTTCCGCTATCTTCCAATAAAAAAAAAATCAGAAACTTCAGCTTTCACCCAGCTTTCACCCAGCCTCCATGGTGCTCTCCTCCATAAAGCCCAGCTCCTCATGGTCATCGCCGCTGGGCCGATGCGTGGGCTGCGGCGAGGCCAGCAGGGCCCCGGAGTTTCCCAGCTGCTTGGCGAAGTCCAGGGCGCTGCTGGCGCCAACGATGCCCTTGGCCACCACAAAGATGGCGTTGGCCGGGTCCTTGAACGGGAAAAATGGGGAAATTCCATGAGATTCACCAAGAAATGATGGATTTCTAGGTACTTGGGATTGGAACTTGATTTTGGGCGTTGGGAATTGAGTTGGATTTAATGGGAGTTCATTTGGATTTAAGGGGAATTGATTTGGATGTAATGGGATTTACATGGGAGTTGGGATATGATAGATTCGTCAAAATCAACCATGTGGTTTTATACTATGGTTGGATATGATGATACGATGTAGGGCAACCCACTAACGACAATCAATATTGATATACGGTGATGAATTATATATCAAGCCCCATGGGATCGCAATGGAAACTTTCAAATTATGGTGAAAACATCATTGAACTACCAATACCATCCTGGAAATACGTTATCTTTTCGGGGGTTACTATAGATATGCGTGTGTATAATATATATACACATAATTATATATATATACACCAAGGAATATAAATATCATCAATCACACACATCACCATTTATTTCCATTCTACATCTCCATGTTTTACTTATTAAATCAACTTCAACCCCCATTTTCTCAGCCGAAATATCATAATTTATCTGGTGAAACCATCAAATCAGCCGAAAATTCCCAGAATCTTCCACCCCAGGGCGCCTCAGACCTGAAGAGCACCTGGTTCTCCTTCAGCTCGAGGCGCTCGAAGCGCTGCGCGGCCGCCTTGGCCGCCGCCGTGGCACTGGCCTTGTCGCTGACGAAGCCCTCGACGTAGTCCAGCAGAAGGATGTCAAGAGGCCACCTGGGATGACTCCAATTTGGTTGATACCCTCTGGTAAACTAACATAACTATGGAAAATCACCATTTTTGATGGGAAAACTCACTATAAATGGCCATTTTCAATAGCTATGTTAAAATACCAGAGGATAATATGGTTATTTTATACTATGGTTATGATATGACATCCCATTGTTTGGTCTACTATACTATGGTTATGATGGGGAAAAAAGGTGAATATTGATGATCATTAGAAGATATTATCCCATTATATGGTGGATATTATCCCATTATAATGATATATAATGATGATATCCACCATATAATGGGATAATATCTTATAATGGTATAAATTATAATGATGGATATTATGAATATCAATGGTGGATCCACAATTATGACATATTATGACTCTTTTTGATGATCAATCAATGGATAATGATGATGAGAAAATCAGTCTGTCAGTGGGTAATTATCAATTATGATTATCCCAATATAATGGTGGATATTATCATTATCATCCTGGAATGATTCTTTTTTACCACCCAATTTTTGGGATAAGATGGGATAATGATGATTAATCAATAGATGATATGGGATAATGATGATGAATCAATGGATGCTATGGGGTTTATGATGAATAACCAGTGGATGAATATGGGATAATTATGATTACTCCATGGATGGAATGGGGTAGAAGAATGTAAAAAGCTTTGTTTTAATATGGCGGGTTGAACCAACAACAACTGGGTCTTCACCAGCAAAAATGAGGATCTTAAATGGATTTGTGTTGGGTGAACCAAAAGAATGGAGGCACCAAGCATTTTATTGGGAGTTTACGGGGGTTCGCCAGGATTAATCAACAAAATGTGCAAACCAGTGTAATTCTTAGTATATTTTTTGTCAAAAAAAAAAGGTGTCACTCAGGATTTTATGGGATGTTCATGGCTTTGTCATGTGTGTTTCAAGTGCCTACCGCAAAGAATGAGAAACACTGGATCGTCTAGAAAATAATGTGCATACCCAGCAAAATCAAAGGAAGAAAAAAAGACCATGAAACACAGCAATCATGTTCATCCCAAAAACTTTGAAACGTGTTGTGATGCCGGGAAAAAAGTGCAAAGTTGAGAAAACCTATATCTATCTATCATATTTACCTGGGTGATGCAAAACAAGGTGCCTCAAGCCCTACAAACATTATGGGAGTAATATTGTGTTAGCGTGCGGCACTTGGAGTGATCAATCGCCTAGCATGGAATCAGCACTTTAAATCATCTGGCACAGTTGGATGGAAACGGAAGTTCAAAAACAGTCCAAGCGACAGTGATTTTGAATCAATGCAAAAAGAAATGGGGAAAGCTCCTACTCATCCCAACCCTCCAGAATAACTCCCCCTATGAATGTGCAAGTATATATATATATACACATATTTATTTATACACATGGAACTCTGGGCATGATCTACAACCAAACCAAGGTTTCTTTCTGGTGGGGTTGTGTTGATAGGGTTGTCCCAATCAATTTTTGTCACAACCACATGCCGAACCATTCAGCCATAGCCACTCCTCATCAGACTGATCCTTTCTCAATTTGCCGGCCTCGGTCAGAATGATCTCCTCAATGGTTTCAGCCGGAGAAAAAAAAAATGACACAATTTTGAGGAAAAAACACTATATTTAATGCATCCTCCACGTGTTTTTTGACGAAAAAACACGATGTATCTTCCTTTCTTTGGCTCAGGCTTATTTGTTCCCCTACCACCCCCCCCCAAAAAAAAAGAAAAAAAAAAGAAGAAGAAGAAGAAGAAAAAAAGATTAATATAACATCCAAACAAAACTAAACATCAAAAGAAATCACCTTACGGTCGATGATATTTCATGATATTCCCATTACAGTAATTATCCAGTACCCCCATAGTACCCCCATGTTTGATCCTAAAATCCCATAAGTATTAAATATCACCAGCCATTCCTCACCAACACATTCACCAAACATCATTCTCCGAATAATTAGGAATATAATGAGAACATACTGGAAACTCATCAACTATATGTTTATCTTGTTTGGTTTATTTCTTATATAGAGGTCAAATATCAATATCCGTTTGACAACAATAATAGCATATGAAAACCGCAATCACAATAAATATACAATATATAAGTACGTATGTTAATCATTGCTAATCATACTCCATGTGTATTTTGATATTGTTAACTAATTAGAGTAGTAAGAATAACATATCAATAATATATTATATATATACAATGATTATTATATAACCTACATTATTAGTACTTCATGAATTATCACACTATTATTATCAATAAGATATACAATAACACATATAATTACCTTTTTTATGTGACATATGAATCACGTTCAGAACATATCACATATCATACCCTCTGGTAATTTAACATAGCTATTGAAAATGGCCATAGAAATAGTGGATTTTGACATGAAAAATGGTGATTTTCCATAGCTATGTTAGTTTACCAGAGGGTAACCACCCCCATCACCGGTGTCTCCTCGCACTTCTGCAGGGCCTGGTCCAAGGTCACGAAGACCTTTCGCTCCGGAACGCTGGGACCGACCACGCCGTGCGCCAGCAGCAGCCGCTCCGCCGTCTTGGAACGCAGCGAGGATAGGAAGACGCGCGCGCCTTCGCGTTCCAAGGAGAGGACCAACCTGAGAAATGGTGGGAAATGTTGGATGTTAGAAGATGTACCCTCTGGTAATTTAACATAGCTATTGACAATGGCCATTTATAGTGGATTTACCCATTATAAATGGTGATTTTCCATAGCTATGTTAATTTACCAGAGGGTAGATTCAAGTTGCGTGAAGTTGCAGGTTTTTGAAGTTTAAGGCTAAACCCCCCAATGGTAAAGCTTCAACAATAGGGGATTAGTCAGCCTCTGATAGAGGTTGATGGGGGTTAATCATACCACTTTACACCACCATTCGTTTGATGAAATTGCCGGTTTGCCTAAACTGCTAGTTTGGCAAGATCCTGGGTTGAGTTGGGATCACCAGCATGATTAACCATGAACAATATTCAATCATATTAACCCATGTTAGTAAGCACTATTAACCATGATTATTAATCATGACTATATCTCTTTTTCAACCATCATTAACACGTGTTAACCATTCACCACCACTACCCTCTGGTAATTTAACATAGCTATTGAAAATGACCATTTATAGTGGATTTTCCCTTAAAAAATGGTGATTTTCCATAGTTATGTTAGTTTACCAGAGGGTAACCATCAACTTCACCATCTTCCATCCATCAGAATATCCCAAGGCACAATCGGATTTGATCCGCAAAGGTGCAATCCATGCCGCTCAAGCGGCCCAGATCCAGGCAGACGAAGCGCGCGCTCTTCTGCTGCACCGCCACCTCGATGCTCTGCGCCGAGGTGAAGGACGTGCCAAAAAAGGCGTAGCTGTTGAGGCTGATGGCCAGGATGCTGTTGTACATGCCGTTCCTTTAAAGTGGCGGTGGATGGGGGGGCATGGGTGGCTTTAGAGATGAGAATCATATGGAATACTTCTATATGTGTAGCGTGTGTGTGTGTGTGATATATATATATATATATTGATTCAAAAAAAAAAGTAAGTGGCCATTTCAGGAACCAACCTACTGGAGGTACTTACCATATAATACATTACATAAGGTCTATTTTTCAGGGCTATTTTTCAGGGGATGTAGCCCCAAAATATGGCTTACTGTATGGTAAAATACCTCCAGTTTCTTAGTTTAACCCTCCAGTAATCAAACATAACTATGGAAAATCACCATTTTTAATGGGAAAATCCACTATAAATAGCCATTTTCAATAGCTATGTTAAATTACCAGAGGGGAACCCTCCAGTAATCAAACATGGCTAGGACATCTCCTAGCCATCGAGGCTGAAAAAGCTGGGAAAATCATCGGGTACCAATGGGGTTTTGTGTTCAGCAAGCCATGTTGAAACATACCAAAGGTTCAATCCGGGTATCCCCAAAGCAAGATCTATAAAATCTATCCAATCATATCTGGTTGGTGGTTGACCTCCCCGTCTTAAAAATTTTAGGCAATGGGAAGGATTATCCCAGATATTATGGAAAAATAATCCAAATGTTCCAAACCACCAACCAGATATTCCCATGAAATCCCATTAAAATCCATTCCCATTACTCTAAATCCTTCTCGTTGAAATCGCCCAGATTCAAGTGACGTCGTTCTTGTGGAGGTCTTACCACTGAAGACCTCGAGGAGACCTCCTGCCATTTGTCTTGCCTTAAGGTCTCCGGTAATCTGAGGGGGTCCGCCGTGAAAAATCATGGTTCTTATACCCTCTGGTAATTTGTTACATAGCTATTGAAAATGGCCATAGAAATAGTAAATTGTCCCATTACAAGTGGTGATTTTCCATAGTTATGGTAGTTTACCAAATGGTATAGGTTTTTTATGGGATATGAACGGGGATATTTTTGGGGGATGTAATCCACCAGCTAAGGTGGAATGGTTATAGTATACCCTGTGGAAATTTGTTGATTGATTACATAACTGCAGCATAGATGGCCCATTTGAAAAGAGGATTTACCGACTATCTTTAATGGCAATTTCCCATGGCAAACTGTTAAATTCTTGGAGGATATGTTATGTGAATCCATTCATTTTATTGCAAAGCCAAAAAGAGAAAATCTGTCCTTTAATGGATAAAGAAACGACAAGAATTTTCAGAAGAATCCCACTCCTTGATGAAATCACCATGTTCATCCATTTATTTCATAGTTCAACCTCCATTTTTATAGTTCAGTTATAGCTCAGTTTCTATTTTCACCATTTTTCACCCACATCTTCCGCGAAAAGAAACGCGCCCAGTGGCACTTTGGCAAACTGATACACGAAGAAAACGCTCGCCACTGCAGTGCCTACGGCCATCCCTTCGATGACGCCGAAGGTTTGGAAGCCCGTGAGCCACATGGTGACCTCAGGCGCTAACGCTGAAACGATGTGGGGATGCAGCCCCAATGGGGATCTAAGTGGGGTATAAATGTTTATAAATCCATAGGTAAGCCATATTTCATCCCATAGATATTCATAGATATTCTCCATGTTTTATCCCATAGATATTTATAGATATTCCATATATGGGTGTTGGTCTTGGTTGACCCATACACGAAGTGTGATGCACCCCCCAGCTGGGATTCAGTGGCAGAGATATGGAGATATCAGCTGGAAATGGGGATACGATTGGGAAGTAATGGGATATAACTCATAACCAACTCGAATGGGAAATCATGGAAGAGATGTAGGATTTAACAATAGCCAACAATTGGCTAAATAATATTTAAACAACAGAAATTGGAGTAACCAATAATTTTATGGGGTACAATGGGAGAAGGACATGGATTTGATGGGATTTCACCATATTTCTATAACGAACAAAAATGTTTCTTAAATATGTGGGATTCTTGTCAAAAACAGAAGTGTTACCACGGACTTTACGGGATGCTCATGGCTCTTAATTGGTTTTTAGGTGAAAACTATTGTAAAACAATGACAAACTACTGGATTTTGGAAATGGGTCAAAATGTGCAAACCCCCACGGTGTGGTTGAATTATATAATACTCAAAATCACCAAATTGGTTGGCCGATTGGTGCCCAAATGTTGGCCCAGAGCCAAACCAACCAGTGAGGGATCCTCCTAGGATCGCCTTCCCTTAAGAATAAATAGATCAATTCTTTTGAAGGGTTTCACAGAGAGACTTTGTTGTTGGGGCTTGTTCTAAGGAGAAAGGAATGAGTCGCCGGGAATCCTCCAATTTTGAGGGCCGAAAAAAGAGAAACATACTCTAATATCAAAGAAGACATGTCAAAATGAAACAGCGCCAAGTGACGCCAAAAGAGATCCACACCAGAGTATACTCAGAGCGAGACATCAGATGTCTAGACTGAAACAACCAGTCATTCATGATGTCCACGCCAAAGAAGCACATGATGCCACCCACATACGCCTGGCTTGAATCCCACATCTACCCCTCCCATCTACTGTGCAACGTATGGTACCCTAGGCGCACTATACAATGGCTCATATCAATCCATGCGTCCATCTCTCTCTGCAGAAGAAGCCATACTCTAGATACCAATCACCAATCGAGATCCCTGGCCACTTGTAATAGATACAGTGCACTTCCAACATCGTCCCATTCAGAGGTTGATGGCGTTGGGTTTATCGTCTCCTGATGGTTGTGCGTATATTATATATATATATATAGATATATAGATGTCCAAAGTTATCTATTGGCCGATTCCCCATCACGGTATGTTGCTTGATTCAATATTTATCCACATTGATCCACATTTATTCGTATGTTGGTAGATTATGTCAGCCCATTTACAATATTTGGATCCATTTGGTTCGTTAAATCCAAATGTACGGTACTATATACTATATGCTACAGGTTGATAGGCCATATCAACCTATGTTCCTTCATTTTACTTGATGACATCCCCATGTTCGACTCCATAAGAAAAACGGGATCAAATTCAACCAGAGCTTAGAGATGATTTTGGTAGCTTCTATACCTATCAACATTTTTTGCTCCACGTTAAGTCCCCAAACAAAATCCATCCAAAAACATCCGCATTTTTCTCATTATACCCTCTGGTAAACTAACATAGCTATGGAAAATCACCATCTTCATAGGTAAATCATGGTAAATCATGGTAAATCAACTATAAATGAACCATTTTCCATAGCAAAGTTTACCTCTCAGGGTAACTTCACCAGGCCGCATTGGGCAGGACTTTCAGGATGTCCACCGGCAGCCCGAAGAGCAGAAACTCCCCGATGGCCACGACGAAGCCGTTAAAGCGACTCTTGACCGAACGCTTGGCGCTGAAAATCGTCTGGGAGAAGATGTAGGACCCGGTGGCACCACACACAAAGCCTGGATTCGCGACGGATTTCTAGGGATTTTCTGTGGATTTCCATAGGCTTCTAGGGATTTTCTGTGGATGTCTATTGGATTTCTATTCGGTTTGTGGGATGATCATGATGATCCGGGAGCTTTTCGCCTGGCTTTTGCCATAAAACTCCATGGGTTTGAAGTTGTTTACAGTAAACATCAAGAGGAACCCGAGGGTTTTTGCCTTGTCGTCATCTATCCGGGGGGGGGCCCTGTGATCTTTCCTTGGTCCAAATCTGAGATCCATGGATTGAATCCCTGCTCCAAATGGGATAGCCAAGTCTTTCGCTGTCCCGAAAAAAATCACACCCCCCCCAAAAAAAAAAAAAAAACATCCATTCACCATCATTCACCTACATTTTTCTACGATTTATCCACATTCCAGTTAACATCAGTTAACCCAGGCCAGCTGAGCAGCTACTGCAGAGGTTGCCCCAACCAATGGCGGTCAGTTCTTTGTTGTAGTCCAGCTTGCGTGTGGGCAGCTCTGCCTGGATGGCTGCCACGTCAAGGGAGGAGCCAAAAGTGACCTGGGTAGGGGCCGGGAGTGGCCGGGAGTGCAAGAAGAGCTCCCACTTCTTGCATGGAAAAAATGACTAAACATGTTACAAGGTGGTGCCCCATAGTTAGCTAAGTTGGTTTATAACTCCCATAACTATGGTTTATGGTAGATATAACTATAGTTATATAATGGGGTTTATAAACCAACTTATAACTGGGGGGCACCATCCTGTATAATTCCATCTAATTCCTATCTTTTCAGGGGTGAAAAAATCAAACATCTTTGAAACCACTACGTTTAAACGTAGTGACAATGATGATGAGGCCAATCAAGTTGGCAATCTGCCGGGGCAGCATGCCCCACTGCACTTCGTGGTAATTCACGATCTGCCAGATCTCACCAATTCCCGAGCTGCCCCGGGGGTATGGCACCAAGCCCCTAGCACGGCAGTCCTCTAGGGACAAGCCCGCAGCGTCTGCGCAAACAAAGAAAACAATGGGGAGCAGGAGCAGCGTGAGCGGCATCGCCAGAAAATGCTTCACCTGAATCTCGAGTGAGAGATAACACCAAACATCCCTCAAACCACTGCCACATGCTGTTGATCCAACCCCCCCAAAAAAAAGAGAGCTCGTCACTGTGAGCGTGCGTTTTTTTCTGGGTTTTCACACTTCTTTCTAAGGTTTAACTAGGTTTTGTGTTTTAATAAGAAGATACAAAACAAATAACATTAATTGTTGAAGGTAATCATTTAACTGAATTGTTTTTTCAACTGCTTATTGCTGGGTATGAACCTTAAATAAAGTTTCAAGCAGGTATTATAACAGAAATCATAATGATTTCAATTTTAAGTAGTCATCTACTTTATTTATCATCTTAAAAGTTGGGGGTTCTTCTTTATTACTTGTATAGTAGTCAGTGGATGCTTTAACAGTTAGTTATTTTATTCTCTTGCTATTGTTGAAACTTTTGAGGTCGTGATTTAAAACATTAATTGTTTTTTTAACTAAAGCGTAGAAGGTCTTGATATGGTGATTTCTTTTGGGTGGGTCATACTTATACACTGATGCATTTTATAACTTGGATACTGAACTCTATAAATACGCTTTCCATTTCCTGAATGGATACGCCTTTTGTGTAAAAATCATTTCTACCTAGATTTTCAACAATCCTTTCAACTGTCAATCTCGTTCTGGTTTTCTCATTCACAATTGTATCCTGATAAAAGTCAGTAAGGGCATTTACCCAACACATATTCTCTATTCAATGCCCTTTCTCAATTGCTTTCTTAATGGTTGATGCTTCCATTTCTAAAGGTGTATGTATATATATATATAGATAATGATGGTATATTGATACATTAAAAGCATCAGTTAAATTTTCATTAAGTATAATTTATATTATTTTTTTCACCATTCTTATTGACTAATTCTACTGATATCTTAATACAATGAAACATATTATCTTGGTACTACATTTGTAAGGTTTTGATTAATTCATCAAATTCTGCATCATTCTTTAAACGAGCCATTGCGTTAGTAAATCTTGGATTTATCTGTCCCTCATATTGGTCTTCTAAAATTTCAAACCTAAAAATTATGTGTCCTATAATGTCACTTGGAAAACTAGGCACAGTGATTGTAGCAGTTCAAATATCAAAACTATCAATGTAATAAGGTTAGTTAAGGTATTTAAAAAATTGTTTTGTTTGTTTATTCACTGGCTTTCTGAGGGTGAAGACTTCAAAATTGATAAAGTATGTATGTTTCTGGTTCTTTATCTGAGTTTCTTCTATTTTTTTTCAATTGTTTTTGTTCCTTAAACTTCTGTACCGTACGTCTATTTTTTTTCAAAAGTTTTATCATAAATTTTTTTATTATCAGAAGTTTAATTTTTTTATGTAGTATTCTGCTGTTGCTACATTTGATATTTTCCTTTCAGTGTATAGTTCTATAAATTCATAAAGTCTTTTTTTGTTGCTTTTGTGGTTTTGTCATTAATCCTTTTGCCTTTTAGCTCCTTAAGTTCTGATATATTCCTCACTAAAAACTTGTTCATATTGAAATAATTTATAAACATATTTCTTAAAAAAATATTTGTTCAAGAAATATGTTTAATGAAAATTGCTAGGTTTTTTGAAGATGTTCAAATCCAGTTTTGCAAAATCAAATGAGCGGAGCGCATACAGAAAACATAAAACATCATAAAACTAATAATGCATTCTAATTATTAGTTTTATGGTACTATCATTACCATTATTGAATGTATAGGCCATTCATTCAAACTATATATATACACCAAATGTTTATGCTTCTTCATATAGAGAGCTCATCACGGTGACCTTGGGCACCAACGCTAATGAGAGAATGTTCACACTTCTTGGCGGAGGCAAAAGTTGCCAAAATCTCGAGAAAAACAAAAAACTGCAAACCCCATGTCTGGAGGCTTTGAGGAGATGCCCCACGGGGTCTGTAGTTTTTTCTGGTTTTTTCCATTGTTTTTCCCGAGAGCGTCTGAGCGCAGGGTTCTTCTAATAGTGGGGGTCTGTAAAACATCTTCTCATCTTCACATCTTCTCATCTTCACATCTTCTCATCTTCACATCTTCTCATCTTCACATCTTCTTATCCTCACATCTTCTCCTCATCCCTCATCTTCTCATCTTCACATCTTCTCATCTTCACATCTTCTCATCTTCACACCTTCTCATCTTCACATCTTCTCATCTTCGCATCTTCTCATCTTCACATCTTCTCATCCTCACATCTTCTCCTCATCTTCTCATCTTCACATCTTCTCATCTCCTCATCTTCTCATCTTCACATCTTCTCACATCTTCTCACATCTTCTCACATCTTCTCACATCTTCTCACATCTTCTCACATCTTCTCACATCTTCTCACATCTTCTCACATCTTCTCACATCTTCTCACATCTTCTCAGATCTTCTCACATCTTCTCACATCTTCTCACATCTTCTCACATCTTCTCACATCTTCTCACATCTTCTCACATCTTCTTACATCTTCTCACATCTTCTCACATCTTCTCACATCTTCTCACATCTTCTCACATCTTCTCACATCTTCTCACATCTTCTCACATCTTCTCACATCTTCACATCTTCTCATCTTCACATCTTCTCATCTCACATCTTCTCCTCTTGCCCTCTTGCCCTCTTGCCCTCTTGCCCTCTTGCCCCTCTTGCCCTCTCCTTCTTTTCTATTTCTCTTCTGAAGGCGGGGGCAGGGGCAGTGCCAACGAGACAGCACGAAACGCAACCCTTTCGCACGAAACGAGGTTCGATCGCCAAAAACTGCGGTAAAATTGCGATTTCAACTTGTCCCGCGCAACCCTTTCGCACGAAATGAGGTTCGATCGCCAAACACTGAATAAAGTTGCGATTCCCAAGTCGTCCGGCGCAAAGGAAATGAGGTTCGATCGCCAAAAACTGAGGTAAAGTTGCGATTCCCAAGTCGTCCGGCGCAACCCTTTCGCACGAAACGTGGTTCGATCGCCAAAAACTGAAGTAAAGTTGCGATTCCCAAGTCGTCGGGCGCAACCCTTTCGCACGAAATGAAGTTCGATCGCCAAAAACTGAAGTAAGATTGCGATTTCCACGGGTCCCGCGCAACGCTTTCGCACGAAATGAGGTTTGATCGTCAAAAGCTGAGGTAAAATTGCGATTTCAAGTTGCTCCGCGCAATTGTTTCGCACGAAACGAGGTTCGATCGCCAAAAACTGATGTAAAATTGCGATTTCAAGTTGCTCCGCGCAACCCTTTCGCACGAAACGAGTTTCGATCGTCAAAAACTGAAGTAAAATTGTAATTTCTCTTGTCATTGTCTAATCGCGACCCTTTCGCATGAGATGAGGTTCAATCGCCCAAAACTATAGCAAATTGCGATGTCCTGTGTGTAAAAGCGTCTCTTTGTAAACGCGTCTGTGTGTAAAGCGTCTGTGTGTAAAAGCGTCTGTGTGTAAAAGCGTCTGTGTGTAAAAGCGTCTGTGTGTAAAAGCGTCTGTGTGTAAAAGCGTCTGTGTGTAAAAAGCTTCTGTGTGAAAAAGCTTCTGTGTGTAAAAGCTTCTGTGTGTAAAAGCGTCTGTGTGTAAAAGCTTCTGTGTGTAAAAGCGTCTGTGTGTAAAAGCGTCTGTGTGTAAAAGCGTCTGTGTGTAAAAGCTTCTGTGTGTAAAAGCCTCTGTGTGTAAAAGCGTCTGTGTGTCAAAGCGTCTGTGTGTAAAAGCATCTGTGTGTCAAAGCGTCTGTGCGTAAAAGCATCTGTGTAAAAGCGTCTGTGTGTAAAAGCGTCTGTGTGTAAAAGCGTCTGTGTGTAAAAGCGTCTGTGTGTATAAGCTTCTGTGTGTAAAAGCCTCTGTGTGTAAACGGGTCTGTGTGTCAAAGCGTCTGTGTGTAAAAGCGTCTGTGTGTAAAAGCGTCCGTGTGTAAAAGCGCTTGTGTGTAAAAGCGTCTGTGTGTAAAAGTCTCTGTGTGTAAAAGCGTCTGTGTGTAAAAGAGCCTGTGTGTAAAAAGCGTCTGTGTGTAAAAGCGTCTGTGTGTAAAAGCGTCTGTGTGTAAAAGTGTTTGTGTAAAAGTGTTTGTGTGTAAAAGCGTCTGTGTGTAAAAAGCTTCTGTGTGTAAAAGCGTCTGTGTGTGTAAAAGTCTCTGTGTGTAAAAGCGTCTGTGTGTAAAAGCGCCTGTGTGTCAAAGCGTTTGTGTGTAAAAGCGTCTGTGTGTAAGTGTTTGTGTGTAAAAGTGTTTGTGTAAAAGTGTTTGTGTGTAAAAGCCTCTGTGTGTAAATGTGTTTGTGTGTCAAAGCGTCTGTGTGTAAAAAGCGTCTGTGTGTAAAAAGCGTCTGTGTGTAAAAGCGTCTGTGTGTAAATGTGTTTGTGTGTCAAAGCGTCTGTGTGTAAAAAGTCTGTGTGTAAAAAGCGTCTGTGTGTAAAAGTGTCTGTGTGTAAAGGCGTCTGTGTGTAAAAGGGTCTGTGTGTAAAAGCGTCTGTGTGTAAAAGCGTCTGTGTGTCAAAGCGTTTGTGTGTAAAAGCGTCTGTGTGTAAAAGTGTTTGTGTAAAAGTGTTTGTGTGTAAAAGCCTCTGTGTGTAAATGTGTTTGTGTGTAAAAAGCGTCTGTGTGTAAAAAGCGTCTGTGTGTAAAAGCGTCTGTGTGTAAAAGCGTCTGTGTGTAAAAGTGTTTGTGTAAAAGTGTTTGTGTGTAAAAGCGTCTGTGTGTAAAAGCTTCTGTGTGTAAAAGCGTCTGTGTGTGTAAAAGTCTCTGTGTGTAAAAGCGTCTGTGTGTAAAAGCGTCTGTGTGTAAAAGTCTCTGTGTGTAAAAGTCTCTGTGTGTAAAAGTCTCTGTGTGTAAAAGCGTCTGTGTGTAAAAGCGTCTGTGTGTAAAAGGCTCTGTGTGTAAAAGCGTCTGTGTGTAAAAGCGTCTGTGTGTAAAAGTCTCTGCGGGTAAAAGCCTCTGTGTGTAAAAGTCTCTGTGTGTAAAAGAGCCTGTGTGTAAAAAGCGTCTGTGTGTAAAAGCGTCTGCGTGTGAAAGTGTTTGTGTAAAAAGCGTCTGTGTGTAAAAGCGTCTGTGTGTAAAAGCGTCTGTGTGTAAAAGTGTTTGTGTGTAAAAGCGTCTGTGTGTAAAAGCGTCTGTGTGTAAAAGCTTCTGTGTGTAAAAGCGTCTCTGTGTGTAAAAGTCTCTGTGTGTAAAAGCGTCTGTGTGTAAAAGCGTCTGTGTGTGTAAAAGTCTCTGTGTGTAAAAAGCGTCTGTGTGTAAAAGCGTCTGTGTGTAAAAGCGTCTGTGTGTAAAAGGGTCTGTGTGTAAAAGCTTCTGTGTGTAAAAGCTTCTGTGTGTAAAAGCGCCTGCGTGTAAAAAGCGTCTGTGTGTAAAAGCGTCTGTGTGTAAAAGCGTCTGTGTGTAAAAGAGCCTGTGTGTAAAAAGCGTGTCTCCATACTAACAACAGAAGGCTCTGCTTCTCTACGCTCTCGGGCCATCCGTCGTCTAGTTGTCACTTGCTCACAGATTCACTTGATATGTCTTGATATTCAGCAGATGCTCACAGATGCACTGTTTTTGCGCACGCTGGTGGTAACGTGTTCTGAAAAAAGTTCCATCCATTTCGCCTTCACCATCCTTCACCATTTCACCACAACTTCCGACCTTGAAGTGCACGAAGATCATCACCAGCGCCGTCACTGCCAGCAGCGACATCTTCAGCGCCAGCTCGGGGTCCAGCAGCTGTAGCAAGGTGCTCGGGTCATTCACCTCGCGACCTGAGCCGATCCCCAACCCGGCGGCCAAGCAGAAGTAGCCGATGTAGCCCAAGTAGCCACCCACCACCGGCAGGGGAAGCATCTGAACCTGGTGAAGGGATGAAAATGGCAGGGGGTGGAGAGGAAGTCCAAGGGATAAAGAAATCGAAGAATTCATCCCATAATCTGAGGGTTTCGTTTCCAACCGAATTGGTGGAAAAAAAGGCCCAACCACCATCCAGGCAACATATTGGATGAGCTTCATCTTGCCAATCACAATCAGCGAAATCCCCACAAAGCAGGTACTGATGGCGGACTGCCAGATGCTGGTTGTAATGAGTTCCTCAGGCGTCAAGCCAGCCTCTTTCCCCCAGCTCACCAGGTTGCGGACCATCCCTGCTAGGAAAATGAGACCAACATCCTGGATTTGGCCAATGGAAAACTCCACATCTGACAGCAGAGTCATCACCACCTGCATCACCGCAGAGCTCAAGAAATAGACTTTCACCACCATCGGCAGGTAGGGTCGAAAGACGGCCTGGGGAAACACGATGTGAGCATACGACACCAGGGAGGGCACGCACACGATCCAGTTCACCACGCCATAGATCACCCCGGTCCTTAGATTTCAGGAAGCCCAGGAAGCCCAGGAAGCCCAGGAAGCCCAGGAAGCCTAGGAAGCCCAACATGACATGCCCAACTGCCCAACTCCCATGGTGCGCATCCAAGTGTCTGGTGGTCCGTCCCTAGCCTCTGCTGCCAAGACTTCAGGCTCCGCCGGAACCAGGGGGAGCGTGCGGGTGGCGACAGGTTGCATTGGACCAGCTTCTTCTCAACGCCAAGGCCCAGGCCGAAGGTCGAATCCTCCCGTAACAATGAGCCCTGTGACAGATGCATGGCGCACCGGAAGGGACGAGCTTGGCCCGGGGTCAACTGCGGAACATGTGCAAGTCCGTAGCTGCGAAATATATTGTCGACACACATAGTTATACTATACGATCTATTGGGAATATAACCAAAAGCATGTATATAATATTGTGTGATATTACATGATCCAGTTCTCAGGTCAACGTCATTGTGTCTAATAACTCCCCAGCTGGTGAGTGGGGGATTATTATTCTATGGTATGAGACTTGTGTGGAAAGTTCTAGTTTAGACCAAAATCCAGCGCACATACGGATAGAGGGTTCGCAACAATGGTTGGCAAGTCACCTGCAGCGCTTTCACATCAAAATTTATGAAAAGTCCAAGTTTGCCAACTAGTTGCAGCACGTTTCTCCAACCAACCCCCCCACTATCCCCTATCAACTGGGGATACTTCCCTCGAAGTTGCAGCCTTCCCCCGCGTTCCCTGCCTTTTTTGTGGACCAAACGCCTACAGATGTGTCCCAGTTCCTATGGACTGGACGTCTCAATTCGCACTCACGTGGGGCCAGGCCGCAAGACAACCAATATCAACCAATTCCGGTTGGATCTACATCTATGTGCATCTATGTGGATGGGGACTTTATTTCTATACCTTTATCAATGATATATATATATATATAGTACTGTAAACCCAAGGATAAACCAAACCCATCATCAAAAATGGCTTGGATTCAAACCATTCCCAAATTGGAGCCGTTTATTTGGGTTCCCCACTCTGCTTGGTGGTTTCAATAAGCCCCCCCTTCCTGACCAACGACACACCCCACCTGGTAAACTAAGAGTTTTGTCAACTGAAAACTTGTAACTTTACATATCAAAACGCGTGATTTTCATTGATTTTCCATAGTTCATATAATCGGTTGTGTGAAATTTCCAGAACAAATTTTTGGATCTTCTCACCGGTCACTTGTCGGTTGACCCAAAATGACCCAAACATGGCCGCTACTGGCGCATCCCCATCTGTGAGATCTCAAAGCAGTTCCCCGGCTTAGTGGGAACGGCAGCGAGAACGGTCGCCAAAACGACCGGCCCCCGGCTATGGATCAAATCCGCTGGGTGTGACGAAAAGAGGATCCTTTCCATAGGGAGACTGCCATCATGGAGATGTCTGAATCTTAGACATCATGGAATGATTTCATGGAGACACCTTTGACATGAAAAGGCGGAAATGGAATGAAATGGAGTCATATCCAAGACTCACCGGGTGCGGGGGAACCACTACACCCCATCCCCAATATCACCACAAAAAAATACCACAAACGGGTTGTAATAATCATTAATCATCGCCCCACATTCTAGGTTTACTATTGGGTTTACAATATTGCCAACATCTCAGAGTCATTGTGCGTCAGCACCGTGCGGGCCCTCAACGGATGTGAAGCCATGTAGAAAACGTCCGACTGTAACACACCACTGGCAACGTGCATAGGGAAGATCGCAGCTAGATCTCTTTATGGATAGTTACATATAACTGTGCGCTCATTCACTTATACTACATAGATGCCTTACCCAATCGCAGTACGAGAGAGAGGGGGGGACCACAATGGTGAAAAACGCGTCAAAAAAACTAAAAATTACAAAATATATATATATATATACATTCCTTAAAGGTTGGGGAATAAGTCAGCAGGTTAGCCACTAACCCTCGCAGCATCAGGTAGACGCATCTTTTTCTCCAACAACATTCTCTATATTCTCCCAACCTGTATTCCTACAGGATAATGCATTGGGTATGCCTATAGATCGATCAGCCCTGCTGATGGTGGCATTCTGTTCCAGTCAGGTTCAGATACTGGATCCTTCCAGGTATCAATTCACACCCGCTGGGACAATACCACCCCCAATCTATAGGTATTCGCAGATCTCTGCGCAAAAGTTAGACCCCGTCTGCAGCGCAGACTACAAGTTATGAGGAGACCTCACAGAGGTCCTAATAACAGGGTGGGTCAAAATCTCCGATTTAGGGAGGGCAAGGAAAACAATGCTGCTATTTTGGATCAATACTTACTTGAGCCAAAATTGGCATTGATTTCACCTTATTTAACCAACCACCAAGGAATGACCACTGTCCACCCAGGCCTGCCAAACACTAGACAGTCATACATTCCTTAAAGGTTGGGGAATAAGTCAGCAGGTTAGCCACTAACCCTCGCAGCATCAGGTAGACGCATCTTTTTCTCCAACAACATTCTCTATATTCTTCCAACCTGTATTCCTACAGGATAATGCATTGGGTATGCCTATAGATCGATCAGCCCTGCTGATGGTGGCATTCTGTTCCAGTCAGGTTCAGATACTGGATCCTTCCAGGTATCAATTCACACCCAACGCACTAAGTCCCAATGCATTTAAAGGAATTCGGCCGTCCGAATTATGGCCGCTGTAGGAAGATGCCAGAGAATTGCAGGAAAAGGTGCTAACTGTGCTGTGAAACCATTGGCTTTGAACCATGGGTCGTTCCATCCAAGCCGGCTGATCGAATCAGTCCAGTTACTTTTGGAAGGTACCCATTCCCAAAATATCCAGGTCTTATAAGCAAAAAGCAACGCGTGGATTATGCCGCTCATGACTTCAAGATCTGGGGAGTCACTTCGCCCCTTGATCAACGTCATAAGGACCGCCACATTGTCGATAAACCACACTCCGCGTCTCTCGCGAAATCGGTGCGGTCTGTAGACCAATGCTTGCAAGATGACAACCATCTCCAGTTGTGCGATCTTGCGGTCGCCTGGCTCCCACAGGGTATATACCTCCTGTGGCAAGTCTGCGATGAAAGCCTCCCTGGTGACCCCAGGCTGATTCATCCAGACTATACAGAAGCCCCCGGTGCCTTGCCCTGGGCACTCCAGGGCTGCATCCGACGCACCTACAAACCGTAGGCATGGGGGAGGAAAAATGAAAAACTGACGTTTTGGTTTGTCCCGAAGTACCGCCTCGATAACTTCCAAACTCTTTAAAATTCGAGTTGTCAGGACAACACCTTTCTCGTACTGCCTCTCCTTAATGGGTGCAAGACCTTGAGCTCCAATACGACCATAGGTGCCTTGCTCGAGGAAGTTCATCATGCCGTAGATTTTGGAGGCTGTACCTGAATGCAGTCGAGCTGAGGATCTACAATCCCGCACCAGGGTCTTGATCTTGTCAATGAGCCTTTGCCGGGGCCAGAAACTGATGGAGCCAGTAGTTTTCAGATGGGACATATCATGATCTAAGCCGAGGAAAAGCCCCTGGCTGGACATGGGCTGATGCTTCTCCACCGCAAAGGGGGTGCCCAGGATCTCGTTGAGGTGTATGAAGGCCATCTGCGAGGCTCCTTTGGAGCTGGCCCAATCAACCACGTTCGCATCATCAAAGTACATGGAAACCAAACATGCCAGAAGGCGGCGCCCCAGTGCTTCTACGAATTTGGAGTAGCGATTGAAGCTTGTCACTGCCAGTGGGAGGCCAAAGAGCAGGGAGTTATAGAGCTGGAAGGCCGGTTGCTGCCATTCAGCATGCCACCATGTGACGACACATCCAAGACTCTCCTCCCTGGAGATTGGGCTGTGACGATAAGCATCTGGCCAGTCCTCGCCTCCGCTCTCGAAATGGTCCTGAACCATGTGATGATCCCAGTCACTCTGGGACATCCAGCTCGCGACTGCTGCAACGTGCTGGGCTGGTCGAAGTGCACTACACAGCACCAGCTTGTTGAAGTCTGATGAAAGTGCCGATTGGCCACCCACTGCTGCATCATCGATGATCTACCCCTATGGCCTTGTCACGGGGCTACCAGCGGTTGGTACGGCGCCTTGCTACAACATCTTTCCAGCACAACAGGGGAGCATCATCAACCTGGCCGATGTGGTAGAAGACACTGAGGAACACAACCGGGCCATTATCGCAAGGCTGCGACCTGGCCTGCACGATGATTTTCTGTTGTCGCAGAGCGTGGTGGATGCCGACAAGGGCTTTGGCACGCAACCTATGACTTGGTCGGAACTCTTGCGAGCCACAAAAGGGCGCTCGTTCAGGCTCATCCCACGATGTGTTATTGTGCAGCGCGGCAAGTATCCCCCCACTGAGCCATCACAACCAGCAGTGCCGTCAACCCCAAGTCCCTCTTGGCGGTGACTCGCGCAATTGCATCTGTCTGGAGAGCACGCAACTGGTCTGTCACTGGGGCCCATCGCCTCTTCAACTCTCTCAACATGCCCAGAGCGCGCCTCCTCCAGGCCCCCAGGGAGTCCTTCTCCTGAGCATGCAGATACGCTGCAAATTGGAGGTCGGTGTCGACAACCGGCGATCTCTCCGTAGGTAAGGGGTATTGCCCCACAGTGCAGGCGGCCTCGAAGTGCTCGTCTGGGTCCAGTCCAAAAGGCAGAAGAGGTGGCAGTGCTGCTCGATGATTCAAGCTCCCTGCTTGTTTGCCGTCGGCGTGCCTCTGCCGGAGCCTGGTAACGCCAGACCCTCCCGCAGGGTTAAGGGGGCCGTCCCACTCCAATCCTTGTGCCTCACGCCATTGCACATAGCTGCAGAAAGGATGCTGGTTCACTAGGTCCTCGATCATGGGGAACTTGAATCCTGAGAACCATTCTGCCGGGAAGAGCTTCCGAAAAGTTGTGACCACAGCTTCTTGTGTCCACCTTACCACCGAAGAGCCGGCCAGTGTCGGTGCCTGCAAGGCGGCCAGGGCCCAGCTCCCCCGCTTGGGCCCCCGCACAACTCTTCGGGGCGGTATGCCCGCCGCCCGTGGGTGAGGGGCTGATGCATTAGGACTTGTGGCTTCAAACACTAGGCCTGCCAGAACGTCAGCCTCACAGAGTTCCCCCTCGGCACAATCACAAACTAATGTCTTCCCCATCAGGGAGTGGAGCTCTTGATCGAAGTTGCGCTTGATGTGGTCGATGTATAACGGCATCACTTCATCTGGGGCACAATCATGACCTGCTACAAACGGACACTTCCAACATGTAGTGGGTAACCTGTGTGAGTGATGACCTTGCCCCACGTAGATGG